GGAAGCAGCTAGAGAGGAATTATAAATTGTCTATAGGGAACACCGATAAAATGACAACAAATTTCTTATCAAAAACCATGGAGAAGAAACCCTGGAACAATACTCTTCAAGGGCTGAAGGAAAATAACTATCTCACCCTGTCCTCCAGGCTGGAGTGCAGTGGTGTGCTCTTGGCTCACTGCAACCTCCATCTGCTGAGTTCAAGTGATTCTCCTGCCTCAGCCTCCCAAGTAGCTAGGACTACAGGCGCCTGCCACCATGCCCGGCTAATTTTTGTACTTTTATTAGAGACAGGGTTTCACATGTTAGCCAGGCTGGCCTGGAACTCCTGACCTTGTGATCTGCCCACCTCAGCCCCCCAGTGCTGGGATTACAGGCATGAGCCCCTGCACCCAGCCGAGAATCTTATATCCAGCAAAATTATCTTTGGGGAATGAAGAAGAAATGAAAAGCTTTTAGATGAAGGAAGACTACAAGACTTTGTCATCAGCAGAATTATTTTTAAAGAATGATTAAAGGAAGTTCTCCAAACTCCAAATGTTACGGGAAAAGGCTCAGAACTTCAGAAAGGAAGGAAGAATAGCAGAATGGACAAAAATATTGATAAATATAGCAGATTACCCTTCTCATGAGTTTTTAAAAATCGTAGTTGGTTGAAGAAAAAATTATAGTATCATCTGATGTCTATAGGAAGAGACAATACTTAAAATAGTTATTATATATGAATATACACACATATGTATAAGTGGGAGGGTAAAAGGATGTATATGGATGTAAAGTTTCAACACTTCAATCAAAGTAGTAAAATATCAATAAGTTGGATTATAATCAATTACATATGTATATTGTAGTACTAGAGCAAGTGCTGAGAAAATTCTACAAATCATGTATTCAAAAATAAATCAAAATGGAATGCTAAAAATTGCTCATATAACTCAAAGGAATGCAAGAAAAAGTAAGAATGAGAAACGGAGCAAATGGAAGATGAATAATAAAATGATAAACTTAAGTCCAAACATATCAATAACTACTTTAAATGTAAATAGTCTATCTACTTACATGAAATAAAAGACCAGAGATAGGTAGAGTGAATTTTAAAAAATGACCCAAGTAGATACTGTGTCCAAAAAGCTTTACTCCAAATATAACAACATAGGTAGGTTGAAAATAAAATAATAGAAAAAATATTAATTTTATTAATTTATATTATTATAAATATAAATTTTAGGCTGGGCATGGTGGCTTACCCCTATAATCCCAGCACTTTGGGAGGCCAAGGCGGGTAGATCACTTGAGGTCAGGAGTTCAAGACCAGCGTGGCCAACATGGTGAAACCCTGTCTCTACTAAAAATACGAAAATTAGCCAGGCGTGGTCATGGGTGCCTGTAATCGCAGCTACTTGGGAGGCGGAAGCAGGAGAATTGCGTGAACCTGGGAGGCAGAGACTGCAGTGAGCGGAGCCCATGCCCTTGCACTCCATCTTGGGCAACAGAGTGAGACTCTGTCTAATATATATATACACACACACACATATTTTTAAAATATAAATTTTTAAAAGGAAGGAAGTACTATATTAATTTGAAAATATTTTCCTTCAGTGCAAAAAACATTGCTAAAAACAAAGGATCATTCTTCCAAGACATTGCAATCCTAAGGTATATGTACCAAACAACAGAGATTCAAGTACATGAAGCAAAAACTGATAGAGCTGAAAGGTGAAATAGACAAGTCCACAAATATAGTTGGGGAATTAAAAACCTCGCTCTCACCAAATTGATAGAACTACCAGGGATAAAATATGTGAGAATATCAAAGAACTGAATAACAGCATCAATCAACAGGATCTAATTGATATTTATAGAATGCTCTATTCAACAATAGACAAATCCACAAATACATTTGGGAAATTCAAAGCCTCGCCCTTGTTAACAACAACAACAACAACAACAACGACAAAGTAGTTCTTTTGTTTCATTGATTTTCTCATGTTCAGTTGTATTAATCTCTGTTCTTTATTATTTCCTTTCTTCTGCTTTGTGTTTGTTTTGGTCTTTTACTACTTTCTTGTGTAAGAGCTTAGATTATTGGTTTGAGAACTTTCCTCTTTCCTAATGTAAATATTTAATGCCATACATTTCCCTTTAGCTATATCCCACATATTTTGAAATATCTTCTTTTCATTTTCATTTAATTCTATGTATTTTTGATACTTCCTGTTTGGCCCATGGATTATTTAGAAGTGAGTTGCTCAGTATCCTTGTGAGTGGAGATTTCCCTGTTTTTCTGTTATTAATTTCAAGCTGATTCCATTATGATCAGAGAACATCTCCTATAGAATTTCAATTATTATAGGCAGAGAGGAAGTGTGAATGTCAAATATTACAGGGAAGGAACTAAAGGCAAGTGGCAAATAATGGGTCATTGGAGAGTTTAGAAAAACATTCAGTGCCTATGGAAGTCAGATTGTGGGATCTAGAGCATAAAGGAATTAAGTTAGAAATTGCCCACAAGCCTGCATTTAGCTGGAGAGAGTACATTCTCTCCCACTGTGCTCAGGTCTGTAAAGCCAAGACTAGTCAGAGGGGCCCAGGGGTCTGGGATGGTGTAGCCAGTGCACATGTTGCAGGGAAACTAGTCAGAGGGGCCCAGGGGTCTGGGGTAGTGTAGCCAGCGCACATGTTGCAGGGAGCCAGAGGCAGATAAGCAGAGAGAGGCCGAAAGACTCAGATACACAAATACCCTTGTTTGGGCTCAGAGCAAGGCTGCCAGTGGAGAGATGGATGTGATTTCTCTGACCATAAGGAAGTGTCCTTAGAGTTTATTTCCCGGGTCACCAAAGGGTTTCCTGAGAATTGATACAATACAGGGTAAGGCACAGGGCTGTGTACACACACACACCACTTGGGCCTTAATAGGAGTGAGAAAGAAGACCAAAGGGGATTGTCACAGAGTATTAATTTGTGAGATCTCCCACCACAACCACCCCATTTCTGGGGACTCTGGCTGTGGAGAGCGATGATGAATTTTGAAGGCAGGAAGCTGCTTTCTGTGATCAACCAGGGGAACCCCCAAGGCTTAAAGAGAATTGAGAGCCAGAAACACCCATGAAACTCACCCTGATTCTTTCCCTTCACCTCCCATTTGTCTCTGAGTGCCTCAAACTACAAGACAAGTATCGCCATACAGAGGATCTTATTTTCTTTTTTCTTTTTCTCCCCAGGTCAGAGTGCAGTGGCATGATCACGGCTCGCTGCAGCCTCAGACTCCTAGGATCAAGCAATCCTCCCACCTTAGCCTCCTGAATGGTGGAGACTACAGGTGCACGCCACCACACTCAGTTTATTTTTGTATTTTTTATAGAGAAAGGGTCTCACGATGTTGCCCAGGCTGGTCTTAACCTTGTGGCCTCAAGTGATCCTCCTGCCTCAGCCTCCCAAGTAGCTGGGACTACAAGTGTGCACCATCTGCCTGGCTAATTTTTGTATTTTTTATAGATACAGGGTCTCACTATGTTGGTCTTGAACCAGGCTGGTCTCAAACTTGTGGCCTTAAGCAATCCTCCTGCCTTGGCCTCCCAAAGTGCTGGAATTACAAGCTGAGCCACTCTGCCTGACCTCACACAGAGAATTTTCACATCTTGGTTTGCAATTGCTGTTTCCTCCTAGGAATCCTGACGTCTTTTTCTCCCAGTCCTTATCTCTTTCAGGGACCCAACAGCCCCTTCCACCAACTTTTAGACCCCTCAGGGACCCCGGCATCCTTTTCCCAAAGCTTCCATTTCCTGTGGGTCCCCTGCCCCTGCTTGTTTCTTGTTATCTCTGGCTTTTAGTCTCCTATTTACTCACTTCATTTTCCTGGTTGACTGTATGTCCCAGTCAACTCGGAGCCTTTATCTTTCCCTCCAGGAATGTGCCTTGGGTAGGCCTGGGGATTGGTCGGAGCTCCAGGGAGAGAGAAGCCCCCACACCCACTCTGGCCTCTCAGAGGCCCAGGATCCTGTGATAAGAGAGGAGGAGCCCCAGAGGCAGCAGCTGCTAGGGTGTTGGTCCAAGAGGGCACCCAGGCTTTGCAGCTGTTGGTCCCAGGGGAGACTCCCCTAGCAAATAGTGAGATCCTGGGTCAGGGAGAAGGCAGGCAGGGCATGGGTCAGGCCAGCTCCTCAGAGGAGCTGACTCCAGATGAGAAAGCCCAACTTTCACCTCATTCTTCTGCTCCTTGTGTGCAACCGAGACCTCCACCTCCCATCTCAGGCAAATTCTGGGGTGATGGAGCGGCACAGAGTCCCCTAAACCTGTTCAGCTAGCCCCTGCTAAGAGCAAACCCTCCCTACACACAAAAATACCCCCCCAAACCAACAGGTCCTGGCTCTTCCTTGGTCCCCACAGGCTGGGGAGTCCCTGGCCACCTATGGCCTATTTCCAGGGGCAGGTGTCCGGAATCAGAAGTGGAATCTAGGTGTCTGTGTGGAACCGGGAAACAGAGGCCATTGTCCCTTCTTCACATATCGCCTCAGCCCCAGTGCCCACCTGCATGCTGGCCTGCGCCTGCACCAGAAGAGGCTGACCCCCAGCTCTCCAGTCTTTGAAAATTTCTTTACATCTCTGGGACATAAAGATGCCCAGAGAGGCTGGTTTCGGTGTTCCCGTTTTGCAGATGAGAAACCGCAAAGGCCCCACTGGGCTTTGGTGGAGGTCTTGTGTCTCACTCCATAGCCGCAGACTCCTGCCCATCCCAGACACCTGCCCCTAGTGGTGTCTGGAAGCAGGATGTGGGTGGCTAGGGACTCCCCAGCCTGTGGCGACTGAGGAGGAACCAGGACCCGGATATGGGTCCCTCATTGTTGTTCCTGGCAGGAGCCAAAGGAAGGAATCTGGCCACTAAACCAGCAGATATGACCACATGCCACCTCCCTGCTCGCTGCCCACACCCCCACCCCACCGCCCACACCCCCACCCCACCCTACCTCCACCCAGGGACCCAGGTGCTCAGCTTCCTGCTCCCCAGCTGTCTCCCTCAGAGACCCCACCCTTCCAGGACCAAACTTTCCAGAAGGCGTCCAGGGAGTGGCCAGGAGCCGTCCTCACTTCCTTCTTGGAACTCAGGCATCCAGAATCACCATCCCTCCTTCCCAGGCCTTCACAGTTTCCCATTTCATCTGGCCCTAAGGATGGCAGCCTCCTCCAGGAAGTTGGCATCATCTGCCTGGCACGTGGCCCAGGGTGTGGCCTGAGGGGACCAGAAACTCCACTATATAGCCCTGCCACAGGGCTGGCCCTGCGGCTCCAGGGACCTGCAGGTGAGAAGGGCTGGGGTCCCCTTTGGAAGTGGAACAGCAGGTCCCCTACTCTTGCTCCTGGCTTTAGGCCTCCTCATCCTACCCATAGACCCACAAGACAGCCAACTCCCTACCCCCTCCAGACCCACTGGACAGCCAGCCTCCCCTATACACACACTGGTCCTTGGATCCATACCCCCGGTCCAATCTGCCTGACTTCTTTCCCCACCTCAGCCTTCGTGGTCCCAGGTGGCCCTTGTCATGAGAGTGGGCCCTTCTGCCGAGGACAGTCTCCAACAGAGGCAGTGACTCAGCCTTCTATGATCCCTTCTCTTTTCCTACTGCAGCCATGGGTGCCCTGTGGAGCTGGTGGATACTCTGGGCTGGAGCAACCCTCCTGTGGGGTAAGTCAGACCAAGACCCTCTCCATGTCCTTGTTCCAATCTGGGAAACTCTGCCTGGGTCCACGCCTTCCATGTGTGCCTCCTCCACATGTCACCCCAGGCTAGCTGAGGCAGGAGAGAGGCCCTTAGGCTCTGCAGAGGGATGTGGTAGAATTCACCGATTCTCACCCTTTTCTGGATGGGAGCACTGGTGAAAACCTTAGTCCCCAAACTGAAGTGTGCACAAACTGTCTTGGTTTTCTGCAACTCAACTAAGGTTTTGACTCTGAGCCTCATTCTGCTGAGTTGATGGAAAATTTCATGAAAGTCGTTTTTGGAGGGTGTCGTCCCCAATTCTCCCAGGGATGTGTCCGGAAGTAAAATTTTAGCCAAAGTACTAGGGGGAGGATGGGATATGAGGGCTCTCTAGTCACCAGTCAGCATCCATCTAGGCTACTTTTGAAATGTCCACTTTCCCTGATCCCCTGGCCCCCTGGGATATCCTTCAAGGTCCCCTTTATATGGAAGGTGGTCATTACATAGTCCCCCCCCCCCCCCCCCCCCCTCTTCAAGATTCCTTAGACCTCTCTCTCTCTCTTCTCAGCTCCAGGGATGCTCTTCCTAGTTGGGGGTGGTCAGAAGCCTTCACTACCATCTATTTCTAGGAGACAATTCATCCACCCTTCCATACTCCCCTTCTTCTCTTTATCCCCTTTTCATAAGTCCCATTATTATTATTATTATTATTATTATTATTATTATTATTTGAGATGGAGTTTCGCTCTTGTTGCCTAGACTGGAGTGCGATGGTGCAACCTCGGCTAATTGCAACCTCCACCTCCTGGGTTGAAGTGATTCTCCTGCCTCAGCCTGCTGGTTGCTGGGATTACAGGCGCCCCACGCCACCATGTCCGGCTCATTTTGTATTTTTAGTAGAGATGGAAATTCACCATGTTGGTCAGTCTGGTCATGAACTCCTGACCTCAAGTGATCCACCCACCTTGGCCTCCCAAAGTGCTGGGATTACAGGCAAGAGCCACCGTGTCTGGTCCCTACAAGTCCTGTTAAGACAAAAATCAGTTGGGTGCAGTGGGTCACGCCTGTAATCCCAGCACTTCAGGAGGCTGAGGCAGGAGGATCACTTGAGCCCAGGAGTTCAAGACCAGCTTGGGCAACAAAGTGAGAACCCGCCTCTTGAAAAAATAAAAAAAAAATGAGTCAGGCGCATAGTACGTGTCTGTGGTCCCAGCTATACTGGAAGCTGAGACAGGAGGATCCCTTGAGCCCAGGAGGTTGAGGCTGCAGTGTGTTGTGTTTAAGCCACTGCACTCCAGTTTGCAAAAAGATGAAAATCATGCATACACCAGCAGCAGAGTACATTCACCTTGAGCCCCAAAGTGCTTAAAACAATTGTGGGTTGGAGATTTCACATGAAAATTCAGATAGCCAGTTTCTCTTTAAAAACAGAAAGAACGTCCAGGCGTAGTGGCTCATGCCTGTAATCCCAGCACTCTGGGAGACCGAGGCAGGTGGATCACCTGAGGTCAGGAATTGGAGACCAGACTGGCCAACATGGTGAAACCGTGTCTTTACTACAAATACAGAAATTAGCCAGGCATGGAAACCAGGAGGCGGAGGTTGCAGTGAGCCGAGATCGTGAAAAGTGTTGGGATGAGTCAGGGAGAGCTAGTGTGGGGATAGTCTCTAAAGCTGTCTTCAAGGAACAGAAAGAGGAGTGGGGAAAGGATTTAGGATCTATAGGGTCACTAGGTTTCCTTTTGTGAGTTTATATAATGGTTTCGTTAGGATTGCAAAACTAGGTATCCAACGGCGGAAGTACCTAACCATGCCTAGGAAGGAAAGGAGTTGTTGTTTTGTAGAAGGGGTTTGGGTTTGGGAGATTAGCCGTTCATGATCAACAGGGAGAGCATGTGTGTTTTCATAAAGAATTATGCTGAGATAGGTAACAGATGAGGAAGAAATTTGGGCTTGACTGAAGTCATGGGGGCTGTCTGTGAAGCCTTGCGGCAGTACAGCCCAGGTAATTTGCTGAGCCTGATGGGTGTCAGGGTCAGTCTAAGTGAAAGCGAAGAGAGGCTGGGATGAAGGGTGCAAGGAATAGTAAAGAAAGCATGTTTGAGATCCAGAACAGAATAATGGGTTATGGAGGGGTTGTGGAGGGAGCTATCAGGGATAGGAGAGTATATGACTTTGGCACCATGGGGTGGATAGGTAAGACAATTTGGTTGATAAGGCACAGATCCTGAACTAACCTGTAAGGCTTGTCTGGTTTTTGAACAGGTAAAATGGGGGAATTGTAAGGAGAGTTTATAGGCTTTAAAAGGCCATGCTGTAACAGGCAAGTGATAACAGGCTTTGATCCTTTTAAAGCGTGCTGTGGGATGGGATATTGGCATTGAGCGGGGTAAGGGTGATTAGGTTTTAATGGGATGGTAAGGGGTGCATCATTTGTCACCAAGGAGGGAGTAGAGGTATCCTATACTTGTGGATTAAGGTGGGGAGATACAAGGAGAGGATATGAAGGAGGCTTTGAATTGGGGCAAAAGGTGGCAATGAGGTGTGGCTGTAGCCCAGGAATAGTCAGTGAAGCAGATAATTTAGTTAAAATGTCTCAACCTAATAAGGGAACTGGGCAGGTGGGGATAACTAAAACGGACTGAATAAAAGAATGTTGTCCAAGTGGGCACCAGAGTGGGGGAGTTTTAACAGGTTTAGAAGCCTGGCCGTCAATACCCACAACAGTTATGGAGGCAAGGGAAACAGGCCCTTGAAAAGAAGGTAATGTGGAGTGGGTAGCCTCTGTATTAATTAAGAAGGGTACAGACTTACCCTCCACTGTAAGAGGTACCGAAAGCATCTGTGATGATCCTGTAGGCTTCCGAGGCAATTGGGCAGTGTCAGTCTTCAGCTGCTAAGCCGAGAAGATCTGAGAAGGAGTCAGTCAGAGCCTTGGGTCAGCTGGACAGCCCAGTTTCCAGTGGGGTCCCGCACAGATGGGATACGGCTTAGAAGGAATCCCGGGCTGCAGACATTCCTTGGCCCAGTGGCCAGATTTCTAGCACTTGAAGCAAGATCCTGGGGGAGGAGGTCCTGAAGGAACGCCTGACCACTGTGGCTTAGGCGTTTTGAAGTTTTTGAGTGCTGGAGATATGGCTGGGGTTTCTGTCACAGCAGAGGCAAGTAATTGCAACTCTTCTCTACTATTGTAGACCTTGAAGGCGAGGTTAATTAAGTCCTGTTGTGGGGTTTGAGGGCCAGAATCTAATTTTTGGAGCTTTTTCTAATGTCAGGAGCTGACTGGGTGATAAAATGCATATTAAGAATAAGGCAGCCTTCTGGCCCCTCTGGTCTAGGGCGGTAAAGCTGCTAAGCGGGCCATGAACTGGGTTGAGTTCTTTACCTTGGGTAGTTTCTTTAAGTTTGTCATAATTAACAGCTTTGTAAAGCCCTTCAACTGCCTTTTTAAGCCCTTCAACTAGGCAGGAAACCATGTAATCTCGCCTAGCTGTACCTGGGAAATTGGCCTGATAGTTCCATTGGGGATCTCCTCGGGAAACTGCTCTAATGCCTTCCTGGAGGTCTGGCTCATGAAGCCGGTGGTTATCAGCGTGAGACTGGACTAGAGAAAAAGCTCTTTCCGGTTCATCTGGGGAGAGGGTAGAAGTTACGATGACATTTAAGTCACTCCAGGTTAAACTGTAGGACAGAGTTAGATATTGGAATTCCTATATATATTTAGTGGGGTCTGATGAGAAAGAGCCTAAATGCTGGCTGATTTGGGAAAGGTCTGATAGAGAAAAAGGCCGTGTACCCTGACTATACCTTCAGCTCCAGCCACCTCTCTAAGAGGAAATTGTTGGGTAGGTAGGTGGAGGAGGGCTAGTTGCTGAAGGAAACTGTAAACCAGACCGGGTGTGAGGAGGGGAGGTGATAGAAAGATTATAGGATGGGGGAGCAGAGGCTGAGGAAGAATTGGGAGCTGGCTCCACCTGGCAAGGAGCAGCCTGGGGAGAAGGGGAGAGGTCAGATGAGTCTGTAGAAAAGAAGGATTCAAAGGACTCAGAGCTTGGGGTGGAGACTGAAGGAACAGACAGGAGAGAAAGAAGAAAGAAGAAATATTTGGGACAAGTTGCATTGGGAGCAGAGACTAGGGAGGAACCAATGTGTAAAAGAATGCCTAGACGTCAGGCACTTCAGACCATTTGCCCATTTTTCGACAAAAATTATCTAGATCTCGTAGGATGGAGAAATCAAAAGTGCCGTTTTCTGGCCATTTAAAACCATTGTCGAGTTTGTACTGGGGCCAAGCGGTGTTGCAGAAGAAAATAAGATGCTTAGATTTTAGGTCAGGCGAGAGTTGAAGAGGTTTTAAGTTCTTGAGAACACAGGCTAATGGAGAAGAAGGAGGAATGGAGGGTGGAAGTTTGCCCATAGTAAAGGAGGCAAGTTTAAAGAGAAGGGTAGAGACACGGAGAGGGGGTTGGGGAGCAGCCCTGGGCTGCAACGTGGGTGAGCAGCCAAAGCAGGTGTCCGCACAATTGACTTGCCACCAAGGGAACATGGGTAAATGATCAAGGCAGGTATCCCCACGGAGATCAGACACCAGTGGAAAGTGGGTGAATAATCAGAGAGGCGTCCCCGCAGTGATTAAATACCAAGGGAAGGCTGCCTTCCGGAGTCCGTGACCGGCGGTGGAGTTTTGGGTCCACGGATAAAATGTGTCTCCTTTGTCTCTACCAGAAAATGAAAGGAATTGAAATTAAGAGAAGGAAGAGATTGAAGGGTGGCGCCAAGATTGAAAGGAGAAAGAGGTTGAGGGATAGTGAGAGAGGCTGGAGAAGAGAGTAAAAAGAGACCGCTTACCCGATTTAAAATCGGTGAGATCTTCCTTGAAATGGTTGGTCTAAGGACCCGAGGTCGTAGGTGGATCTCTTCACAGAGTGAGGATGAGGACAGCGGACTAGTCTCCCGAAGGAGTCCCGCTGGCCCGGGTCTTCAGCACCAAATGTTTCATGTGTCCGTGTGAAGAGACCACCAAACAGGCTTTGTGTGAGCAGCAAGGCTGTTTATTTTACCTGGGTGCAGGCGGGCTGAGTCTGAAAAGAGAGTCAGCCTTTACTCTCTATTTCTATGAGTTCATCAGTTAAAATTTTTGAACTCCCATACATGAGTGAGAACATGTGAAATTTGTCTTTCTGCACTGGCTTATTTCACTTAACATAATGTCTCCAGTTCCATCCATGTTGTTGCAAATAACAGAATCTCATTCCTTCTTTTATTTATTTATTTTTTTGAGACCGAGTCTCACGCTGTTACCCAGGCTGGAGTACAGTGGCACTTTCTCAGCTCACTGCAACCTCTGCCTCCCAGGTTCAAGCAATTCTCGTGCCTCAGCCTCCCGAGTAGCTGGGATTACAGGTACATGCCACCATTCCTGGCTAATTTTTGTATTTTTAGTAGAGACAGGGTTTCACCATGTTGGCCAGGCTGCTCTCCAACTCCTTACCTGAAGTGATCCACCTGCCTCGGCCTCCCAAAGTGCTGGGATTTTAGGTGTGAGCCACTGTGTGGGGTGATCTCATTCTTTTTTTATGGTGGAATGATTCTCCATTGTTTGTGGGTACTAAATTTCCATTATCCTTTCATCTGTTGATGTACACTTAGGTTGATTCCATATCTTGGCTATTATGAATAGTGCTGCAATAAACATGAGAAAGCAGATGTCTCTTGGATATACTGACTTCCTGTCTTGGAAGGAAAGGAACTGCTGGATCATGCAGTAGTTCTAGTTTTAGTTTTCTGAGAAACCTTCAGACTATTATCGATAGTGACTGTAGTGATTTACAGTCCCACCAACAGTATAAGAGGGTTCCCCTTTCTCCACATGCTTACCAGCATTCATTATTGCCTTTCTTTAGGATAAAAGCCATTTTAACACGAGTGAGGTGGTATCTCATTGTAGCTTTAATTTGCATTCCTCTGATGATTACTGATGTTGAGCATTTTTTTATATACTTGCTGGCCATGTGTATGTCTTCTTTGAGAAATGTCTATTTAGATCTTTTGCCCATTTTTAAATCAGGTTAATTCGGGCATGGTGGCTCACACCTCTAATCCCATCACTTTGGGAGGCCGAGGCAGATGGATCACTTGAGGTCAGGAGTTTGAGAGCAACCTGGCCAACATGGTGAAACCCTGTCTCTACTAAAAGTATAAAAATTAGCCAGGCATGGTGGCACATGCCTGTAATCCCACCTACTTGGGAGGCTGAGGCAAGAGAATCACTTGAACCCAGGAGGCAGAGGTTGCAGTGAGCTGAGATCGTGCCACTGCAGTCCAGTCTGGGTGACAGAGCTAGACCCCATCTCAGACACACACACACACACACACACACACACACACACACACACACACACACAGGGAATAAGAGACTGGGCAACCTTTCTCAATTTTTACCTTTCTTCTCTTTTTTTTGCATAGTTAACATTTCTATTTAGTTGAACCTTTACTTATTCTGGTTATTAATCCCTTGTCCAATTTACCATATAGAAGGCTACAGTTTTTGTAATGTTGATTTTTGTATCCTACCAAATTTAGTGACTTTATCTAATAGTTTTTGATGGAGTCTTTAGGGTTTTCTTTAAAATATAAGATTATATATCATCTGCAAACAAGGATAATTTGACTTCTTTTTGTTTGTTTGTTTTCAATTTGGATGTTTTTATTTCTTTCTCTTGTCTAATTGCTTTAGCTCAATGGGTTGTAAATATTTTCTCCCATTCTGTCAGTTGTGTCTTCACTTTGTGGATTGTTTCCTTTAGCACAGGCAGAAGCTTTTTAGGTTGATGTGATACACACACACACACACACACACACACACACACACACACACACACACACATCAGATTATTTGATTTTTTTCCTATTGAGTTGTTTGAGCTCCTTTTATATTCTGGTTATTAATCCCTTGTCAGTACCATATAGAAAGGCTACTGATTTTTGTATGTTGATTTTGTATCCTGCAAATTTAGTGACTTTATCAGTTCTAATAGTTTTTGATGGAGTCTTTAGGTTTTCTTTAAAATATAAGATTATATCATCTGCAAACAAGGATAATTTGACTTCTTTTTTGTTTGTTTTGTTTTTCCAATTTGGATGTTTTTATTTCTTTCTCTTGTCTAATTGCTTTAGCTCAATGGGTTGTAAATATTTTCTCCCATTCTGTCAGTTGTGTCTTCACTTTGTGGATTGTTTCCTTTGCTGAGCAGAAGCTTTTTAGGTTGATGTGATCCCATTTGTCCATTTTTCTTTGGTTGCCTGTGCTTTTGATGTATTACTCAATAAATTTTTGCCCAGACCAATGAACTGGAGAGTTTCCCAAATGTCTTCTTATAGTAGTTTCATAGTCTGAGGTCTTAGATTTAAGTCTTTAATCCATTCTGATTTGATTGTTGTATATGGTGAGAGATAGCGGTCTAGTTTCACTCTTCTGCATATGGATATACAGTTTTCCCAGCACCATTTATTGAAGATAAATCTTCAGCTTCCTGAGTAGCTGGGATTACAGGTACATGCCACCTTTATTTTGTTGAAGATAAATGGTGCTGGGAAAACTGGATATCCCATAGTGTATGTTCTTGGGATCTTTGTCAAAAATGAATTCACTGTAGGTGGGTAGATTTGTTTCTGTGTTCTATATTCTTTTCCACTGGTCCATGTGTTTGTTCTTATGCCAGTACCACACTGTTTTGGTTACTATAGTTTTGTAGTATAATGTGAAGTCAGGTAATGTGATTCCTCCAGTTTTGTTCTTTATGCTCAGGACGGCGTTGGCTATTCTGGGTATTTCGTGTTTCCACATACATTTTGGGATTAGTCTTCTAGTTCTGTGAAGAATGTCACTGGTATTTTTATAGGGATTGCACTGAATCTGTAGATTGCTTTGGGTGGTCTGGACATTTTAACAATATTGCGCCTTCCAATCCATGAACATGGAATATCTTTCCATTTTTTGGTGTGTGTCCTCTTCCATTTCTTTCATTACTGTTGTATAGTTTTCATTGTAGAGATCTTTCATTTCTTTGGTTTATTCCTAGGTGTTTTATTTTATTTGTGGCTATCATAAATGGGATTACTTTCCTTTTTTTTTTTTTCAGATTGTTTGCTGTTAGCATATAGAAATGCTACTGATTTTTGTATGTTGATTTTGTATCCTGCAAGTTTAGTGAATTTGTTTATGAGTTCTAATAGCTTCTTGATGAATGTGTTTCTCTTTTTCTTTTCTTTTCTTTTTCTTTTTTTTTTTTTAATGCAGAGTTTTGCTCTTGTTGCCCAGGCTGGAGTGCAATGGTGCAATCTCGGCTCACCGCCGTCTCCGCCTCCCAGGTTCAAGTGATTCTCCTGCCTCAACCTCCTGAGTAGCTGGGATTACAGGTGTCTGCCACCATGCCAGGCTATTTTTTTTTTTTTTTTTTTGTATTTTTAATAGAGACAGGTTTCACCATGTTGGCTAGGATGGTCTCAATCTCTTAACCTCTTGATCTGCCCACCTCGGCCTCCCAAAGTGCTGGGATTATAGGCTTGAGCCACTGAACCTGGACAAGGTTGTTTTTTGTTTTGTTTTGTTTTGTTTTGTTTTTTTTGAGACAGAGTCTTGCTGTGTCATCCAGGCTGGAGTGCGGTGGCATGATCTCGGCTCACCACCATCTCCGCCTCCCAGGTTCAAGCGATTCTCCTGCCTCAGCCTACCAAGTAGCTGGGACAACAGTCGTGTGCAACTACACCCAGCTAATTTTTGTATTTTTTTAGTAGAGATTGGGTTTCACCATGTTGGCCAGGCTGGTCTTGGACTCCTGACCTCAGGTGATCTGCCCACCTCGGCCTCCTAAAGTGCTGGGATTATAGGCGTGAGCCACCAAGCCCAGCTGTCTTTAGGTTTTTCTAAATATAAGATTATATCATCTGCAAACAAAGATAATTTGACCTCTCTTTTTCCAGTTTGGATACCCTTTATTTTTTCTATTGTCTAAGAGGTTTAGCTAAGACTAACAATAATATGTTGAAGAATAGTGGTGAAAGTGGACATCCTTATTGTGTTCCAGGTCTTGGAGCAAAGGCTTTCGGTTTTTCCCCATTCAGTATGATACCAGCTGTGGGTCTGTTGTACATGGCTTTCATCATGTTGGGGTGTGTTTCTTCCATATCCACTTTCTTGAGAATTTTTGTCATGAAAGGATGTTAAATTTTATCAAATGCTTTTCTGGCTCAATTGAAGTGATCATATAGTTTTTGTCCTTTATTCTGTTGATAAGATGTATCACACTGATTGATTTGCATAAGCAACAACCCACTTTAGATGGTGTAGGAGTGCTCCAGTTCCACAGTCGCCCCTCCGGGACTGTTTCACACATTTATATTTCTTGCCTGGCCCCATCAGCATTTGAGTTTGAGGGCCCTGTCTAAGGTGTTTAGATTTTTGAAAAACAAAAGCTAGCAAGGCTTGTAGATGAATGCTGCATGAATCAGAAGAAAGGAAAGCAAAGTGAGGAAGAAAAGCCCAAGTTAATATTTCAACATGTTTCTGGGTGTAGAGCAAAAGGTGAGGAGGATTGGATAAGTGGACCCACAACTGTATTTTCTCAACCAGGATTGACCCAGGAGGCTTCAGTGGACCTCAAGAACACTGGCAGGAACGAATTCCTCACCGCCTTCCTGCAGAACTATCAGCTGGCCTACAGCAAGGACTACCCCCGCCTCCTTATCTCCAGTCTGTCAGAGAGCCCCGCTTCTGTCTTCATCCTCAGCCAGGCAGACAAAACCTCACACAACGTCACAGTGAGGCCTGGGGAGTCAGTCATGGTCAACATTAGTGCCAAGGCTGAGATGATAGGCAGCAAGATCTTCCAGCACGCGGTGGTGATCCACTCTGACCGTGCTATCTCTGTGCAGGCACTAAATGCCAAGCCCGACACAGCGGAGCTGACACTGCTGCGGCCCATCCAGGCCCTGGGCACCGAGTACTTTGTGCTCACACCCCCTGGCACCTCAGCCAGGAATGTCAAGGAGTTTGCCGTGGTGGCCGGTGCCACAGGTGCCTCGGTCAGTGTCACGCTGAAGGGGTCAGTGACATTCAATGGCAAGTTCTATCCAGCAGGCGATGTCCTAAGTGTGACTCTAGAGCCCTACAGTGTGGCCCAGCTACAGAGCTCAGTGGATCTCTCGGGGTCAAAGGTCACAGCTAGTAGCCCCGTGGCTGTCCTCTCTGGCCACAGCTGTGCCCAGAAACATACGACCTGTAACCATGTGGTCGAGCAGCTGCTACCCACATCTGCCTGGGGCACCCACTATGTAGTACCCACGCTGGCCTCCCAGTCCCGCTATGATTTGGCCTTCGTCGTGGCCAGCCAGACCACAAAGCTGACCTATAACCATGGGGGTATCACTGGCTCCCGTGGGCTCCAGGCAGGTGATGTGGTAGAGTTTGAGGTTCGGCCATCCCGGCCACTCTACCTGTCTGCAGATGTGGGCATCCAGGTCCTGCTGTTTGGCACAGGTGCCATAAGGAATGAAGTGACTTATGACCCCTACCTGGTCCTGATCCCAGATGTAGCGGCCTACTGCCCTGCCTATGTGGTCAAGAGTGTACCGGGCTCTGAGGGCGTGGCCCTGGTGGTGGCACAGACAAAGGCTATCAGCGGGCTGACCATAGATGGGCATGCAGTGGAGGCCAAGCTCACCTGGGCGGCTGTGCCAGGCAGTGAGTTCTCGTATGCTGAAGTGGAGCTCGGCACGGCTGACACGATCCACACCGCCGAGGCCACCACTAACTTCGGGCTGCTCACCTTCGGGCTGGCCAAAGCTACAGGCTTCGCAACAGCAGCTGATTGTGGTCGGAGTGAGTGATGGGAAATATCCCCTGGTCCTGTCCACCTGGTGACCGTTTTCCACCCACCTGCTCCTCTGTGGCTTTCAGGATCCTGGTGTCCTCCCCTCACTTCCCTTCTCCGCAACATCTTTCCATTATCTGTCCTTAAAAAAATCCCTTAGCTCAGCCGGGCGCGGTGGCTCACCTATAATCCCAGCACTTTGGGAGGCTGAGGCAGGCGGATCACGAGGTCAGGAGATCGAGACCATCTTGGCTAACACAGTGAAACCCCTTCTCTACTAAAAATACAAAAAATACAAAAAAATTTGCTAGGCGTGGTAGCGGGCCCCTGTAGTCCCAGCTACTAGAGAGGCTGAGGCAGGAGAATGGCGTGAACCTGGGAGGCGGAGCTTGCAGTGAGCTGAGATTGGGCCACTGCACTCAGCCTGGGAGACAGAGTGAGACTCCCTCTCAAAAAATAAAAATAAATAAATAAATAAATAATCCCTTAGCTCTTTTTGACCCTGGAGGGAAGGTAGGGAAGAGGGGAAAAGGGGGAGAGAAAAACACAAAATAACACTTTAATGACTGTTTCTGCCTTTTCTTACTTAACTGCCTTCCCTTCTTCTAGGTTGCTCTGTGTTAAACTAGAGAATCAGAAAACCTGGGACTTTCAGAGAGGCCTGAGCAACTCTCTCCCTGTGGGGTTCCAGACCTCGGTTTCCCCACCTTTAAAATGGGCAAAACTGGGCAGTTGTGAGCAAATTGCTCAAGCTTCCCAGGCAAAGTGGACTCCAGGATGCCTCCCTCTGAGGCCTGAGGCAGGCTTCTTCCTTCTTCTTCCCTTCTCCTCCTCCCTCCAGGATGCCTCTCTGAGGCCTGAGGCAGGCTTCTTCCTTCTTCCCTTCTCCCTCCTCCTCCCCTCCCCACTTCTCCTCCTTCTCCTCCTCCCCCTCCCCTCCCTCCCCTCCCTCCCCTCCCCCTCCTCCCCCTCCCCGCCTCCTCCCTGCTCCTCCCTGCCCCCTCCCCCTCCTTCCCCCCTCCTTCCTCCTTCCCCTCCTTCCCTCCTTCCCTTCTCCTCCCCCCACTCTTTCCTCCCTCCCCCCTCTCTCCCTCCTCCTCCCCCTCCTCCTCCCCCTCCTCCTCCCCCCTCCTCCCTTTCCCCTCCTCCCCCTTCCCTCCTCCCCTCTTCCCTCCTCCCCTCTTTCCCCTCCCATCCTCCCTTCCCCTCCTCCCCTCCCTTCCCCTCCCCCTTCCCCTCCCCCCCCTCCCCCCTCCTTCCCTCCCTCCCTCCCTCTCCCCCCTCCTCCCCTCCTCCTCCCCTCCTCCTCCTCCCTCCCTCCTTCCTCTCTTCCCCTCCCCCTCCTTTCCCCCTTTCCCCTTCCCCCTCCTCCCTCCCCTTCCCTTCCTCTTCCCTCCTCCTCCTCCTCCTCCTTCTTCCTCCTTCTTTCTTCTTCTTCCTCTTCTTCTTTCTTCTTCCTTCTTCCTTTTTTTGTGAGACAGAGTCTCCCTCTGTCACCCAGGCTGGAGTGCAGTGGTGCCATCTCAGCTCACTGCAGCCTCTGCCTCCTGGGTTCAAGCGATTCTCCTGCCTCGGCCTCTCACGTAGCTGGGATTACAGGCATGTGCCACCACGCTCTGCTAATTTTTGTATTTTTAATGGAGATGGGGTTTCACCATGTTGGGCAGACTGGTCTCGAACCCCTGACCTCAAGTGATCCGCCCGCTTCGGCCTCCCAAAGTGCTGGAATTTCCAACCCCGCAGACACTTCTGATTCTCTCTTTTCACTGTTCCCTACCCTCCCCAGCTGTGGTGTCCCCAGCGAAGCCCTCCTGCGAAGGCGTGCAGTGCGCAGCTGGGCAGCGCTGCCAGGTGGCAGGCGGGAAGGCCAAGTGTGTGGCGGAGTCCACCGCTGTCTGTCGCGCCCAGGGCGACCCCCATTACACCACCTTCGACGGCCGTCGCTACGACATGATGGGCACCTGTTCATACACGATGGCGGAGCTGTGCGGCGACGACGACACCCTGCCTGCCTTCAGCGTGGAGGCCAAGAACGAGCACCGGGGCAGCCGCCGCGTCTCCTACGTGGGCCTCGTCACTGTGCACGCCTACAGCCACTCCGTGTCGCTGACCCGCGGGGAAGTTGGCTTCGTCCTAGTGAGTACCCGGAGGCTTCTGGGGGTTAACATCCATGAGCTGCGGGTCCGAAAGCGGAGGCAAAGCCCAACTGACCGACCTCAAACCAGGGTGCAGAGAAATGGGCCATGGGGTTGGAGGGTGGAGAGGGGGATTTGAAAATCAGTAGCAGGATCTTAGAACCCTGCCCTCCAGTCATCCCACATCTGGAAATTTTAAGGATATTCAGAGACGGGATTCGGGGGAAAAATAACGCCAACATGGTTTATAATAGCATAAAACAAAAGCAAAGGAAGAAAAAATTCTGTCCTAGTTAGAAAGGAAATTAAATATCCAACAATGAGGGATTTATATTGACCAAATAACTAAATTTAATGAGCACCTGCTGTGGACCAGATAATGTTTCTTAGCAATTTTCTCATCTTAATGCATTTAATGCTCACAAACTCTGTGCAGCAGGTGTTATTATTATGAGCATGTTCAGACTGGGAAACAGGTTGAGATAGGCTAGTGACTTCCCAAGGGCTCAGAGCTAGTAAGAATTGGAGCTAAGGGCACCGGCATGCAGGCTCTGGAGTCCCTGTTCTTAATCCCTCAGCTGTCCTGACTCTGGTAAATGCATTTCTATTCAGTTCATATGAGTAACAAGCAGCCTAGCGCAATTACTTCCTTTTTTCTCGCCATGTTATTATGAAAATGTTAAAATGTCCAAAGTTGAAATTCTTATACGGTGAATGCTCACATGCCAATCACCTAGATTTTTCTTTCTTTCTTCTTTAATTTTTTCTTTTTCTTTCTTTCTTTTTTTTCTTTTTTTTTGAGACAGAGTCTTGCTCTGTCACCCAGGATGGAGTGCAGTGTTAGGTTCAGGTTCAAGCGATTCTCCTACCTCAGCCTCCCAAGTAGCTGGGATGACAGGCATGTGCCACCATGCCCAGCTAATTTTTGTATTTTTGTAGAGAAGGGTTTCACCATGTTGACCAGGCTGATCTGGAACTCCTGGCCTCAACTGATCCACCTGCCTCAGCCTCCCAAAGTGCTGGGATTACAGGTGCCAATCATCTAGATTCTAAACACTGTACTCTTCTTGATTGATCACACACTGATCCATCGGTTCCTCCCTCTGTCCATTCCACAATCTCTCTTATTTTTTATGCACTTCAAAGTTCCACACATCAGTACATATCACCCAAAAGACTTCACCATGTCATTAACTAGAATACAATATTTTCACACTTCTTTTGGCTGATTTTGGAGATGAAATTTATATATAATAAAAATCACAAATCTTAACTATATAGTTCACCTTTGGCAAATGTGTAATCAAATTGCCCATTAAGATATATAATATTTTCATCACCTGGGAAAATTCCCTCATGTACCTTACCAAACAGTCCCCAACCTATCCCTAGAGATGATCACAGTTCTGATTTTTTTTTTTCCCCAGCATAGATTAGTTTTGCTGTTCAGTAACTTCAGGGCTGAGCGCAGTGGCTCATGCCTATAATACCAGCACTTTGGTAGGCCTAGGCAAGTGGATCACTTGAGATCAGGAGTTAGAGACCAACCTGGCCAACATGGCAAAACCCTATCTCAAGTAAGAGTACAAAAATTAGCTGGAAGTGGTGGCACATGCCTGTAATTCCAGCTACTTGGGAAGCTGAGGCAGGAGAATCGCTTGAACCTAGGAGGCGGAGGTTGTAGTGAGCCAAGATTGCGCCACTGCACTCAAGCCTGGGTGACAGAGTGAGACTCTGTCTCAAAAAATATATATATATATAGAGAGAGAGAAAGAAACAGAGTATATATTTTTGCATATATATACATATATACACACAAGTATACATATATGTGTGTATATATATGTTGTGTTCTCTACTTTGCTTTTTGCACTTAGCAATACATTCTGGAACAGTTTCTCTATCAATGCAGAGGGAGCCTTTTTTGTGGGTTGATTTATTTTTTATTATCTTTTTATTTTTATTTATTTTTTAAAAATTATACTTTAAATTCTAGGGTACATGTGCGCAACGTGCAGGTTTGTTACATATGTATACATGTGCCACGTTGGTGTGCTTTTTTTAACATCTGCACAATTTTTTATATATATATGAACACCATAGTTCATTCAACCAGTCCCCTGTGGATGGACACATTGTTCACTATTACAAACAATACGGCAGTGAATATTTTTTTGATATATATATATCAAAAAAAAAAAAAAAGAAAGTAGGTGTTCTTCAGTCCTGGAAGCGTTGAACGCAAGTTCAAGTGGACTTCAGATCCCTTGAAATTATATACAGAATTTTGTACCTCTCTCTGAAAAACTACTTTATATTTTATTTTATTTTATTTTATTTTTGAGACGGAGTCTTGCTCTGTTGCCCAGGCTGGAGTGCAGTGGCATGATCTCGGCTCACTGCAACCTCCGCCTCCCGGTTCAAGTGATTCTCCTGCCAAAGCCTCCCAAGTAGCTGGGACTACAGGCACATGCCACCAAGCCCGGCTAATTTTTTTGTATTTTTAGTAGAGCTGGGGTTTCATTGTGTTAGCCAGGATGGTCTTGATCTCCTGACCTTGTGATCCGCCCACCTCGGCCTCCCAAAGTGTTGGGATTACAGGCAGGAGCCACCGCACCTGGCCTTACTTTTTTCTTTGTCAGATCCTCACAGACGTCAGTGACTTGACAAAGCTGTAAGGTGTAGAGCTACTGTCAGAATCATAGTAGGATACTCACAAGACATTGTTAGGAGAGGGGTTAATGAAATAGTGACTTCAGCATGGTCCTTTTTTTTTAAGTGTAAATATATCTAAAGGTAGGAAAAAACTCAGCAGGATCTATACATTTGTATGTGTGTGCCTACAGGGTGATTTTCCTTTTCTCATTTTTGCTCATGTGCATTTTCTGTTTTCTGTAATGAATGAATATTATTTGTGTCATTTAAAAATGGGAGACCCTATTTCTACCAAAAAAATAAATAAATAAATAACTGGATGTGGTGGCGCCTGTCTGTGGTCCCAGCTACTTGGGAGGCTGAGGCAGGAAGATGGCTTGAGCCCAGGAAGTCGAGGCTGCAGTGAGCTGTGATGCTGCTACTACACTCCAGGCTGGGTGACAGAGCAAAACTGTCTCAAAAAAATACATAAATAAAAAAATAGAAAAATTAAAATGGAGATCACTGGACTTAGGGGAGAGACAGATTTGAGCAGCCATTCTGGACTGAGAGCTCTGAGCATGGGTCCATGGCTGTCTCCATCACTGCAGTGTCTAAAGCACCAGCTGGCACAGAGCAGGCCATGCAGTGGGACTCACAGAGGCTTTGCTGGGAACCGAAATGAGTGAATGCTCTGTCTTCCCTCTGGGCCATTGCTCGTGCTATCCTCTCTCCTGTGGTTCCTTTTTTCATATTCCATCCTCTTGGCTAAGACTTTCTCCACTTCAAGTCTCAGCTCTGGCAGAGCTCAGAGAATGTGTAAGGAAAGAGTAAGAAAGTGATGCCCAGGCTGGGTGCAGTGGCTCACACCTATAATCCCAGCACTTTGGGAGGCTGAGGAGGGAGGATTGCTTGAGCCAGGAGCTCCAGACCAGCGTGGACAACATAGTGAGACCCCATCTCTAATTTAAATTTTTAAAAATTAATTAAAAAAATAAAAGGCTGGGCACAGTGGCTCATGCCTGTAATCACAACACTTTGGAAGGCTGAGGGGTGGGGGATTGCAGGGGCAGATCACTTGAGGTCAGGAGTTCAAGACCAGTCTGGCCAACATGGTGAAACCCCATCTCTACTAAAAATACAAAAATTAGCTGGGCGTGGTGGCAGGCATCTGTAATCCCAGGTGGGGGAATCACTTGAACTTGGGAGGCAGAGGTTGCAGTGAGCCAAGATCGTGCCACTGCAGCCCAGCCTTGGTGACAGAGCAAGATTCCATCTCAAAAAAAAAAAAAAAGATGCCCCAGGGCACAGAGAGACATAGTTTTTGTCTCTTGGTTCTTAGTCAGACTTTAGGCTTCTATAACACCAGAGCCTGGGAGGCTTACAAACAACACAACCTTGTCTCTCACAGTTCTGGAGGCTAGAAGTCCAAGATGAGGTCACCAGCACTGCCAGGTGAGGGTGAGGGTGCTCCTCCAGATTGCAAATGGCCTACTTCTCCCTGTATCCTCACACAGTGGAAAGAGGACCCCAGAGCTCTCTGAGGCCTCTGTCATAAGGGCACTAATCCCATTCGTGTGGGTGCTACCCTCATGACCTAATCACCTCCCAAAGGCCTCCCCCAACTCTTAATACTATCATGTTGGGTGTTAAGATTTCAACATACGGGCTTTGCAGGAGACACAGATATTGAGTCCATAACACCAAGCCAGATGGACTGGCAAGGATCTCTGTCCACTCAGGACATTTGAATGGGAATATCCTACTCCCTCCCAGTTTTCCTGGCTCGCTCTCTCTTACTGGTCCTTTAAGACTCAGCACGGCCGGGCGCAGTGGCTCAAGCCTGTAATCCCAGCACTTTGGGAGGCCGAGACGGGCGGATCACGAGGTCAGGAGATCGAGACCATCCTGGCTAACACGGTGAAACCCCGTCTCTACTAAAAAGTACAAAAACCTAGCCGGGCGAGGTGGCGGGCGCCTGTAGTCCCAGCTACTCCGGAGGCTGAGGCAGGAGAATGGCGTAAACCCGGGAGGCGGAGCTTGCGGTGAGCAGAGATCCAGCCACTGCACTCCAGCCTGGGTGACAGAGCTACACTCCGTCTCAAAAAAAAAAAAAAAAAGACTCAGCACAATTATTCTTTCCTCTGGGAAGCCTTCTCTGACCAGCAAGGTTAAATCTGGCCATTTATCTAGGTTTTCATAGTCTCCTATCTCCCCACTATCCCAGCTCTGAACCCTCAGCCTGTACCTTCCCTATCCCATCCCTGACCTGTCCGCCTGGGCCTTTCTGATCCTGGCCTTGACTTTTCTGCCTGTGCTTCTCCCACCTCTGCCCTGACCCCCCTGAGCTCCCACTATCTGGTGATGAGTCTCTTTCTCCCAGTGGACTGGGAGACCCATGAGCGTAGGGCCTGAGGCTATCTCTGTTAACTTCGTATTCCCAGGATCTCCCAGCCCAAGGCCAGGCACAGAGTGAGTTCCCAGTGAATGTTTATTAAATGCAGCAGTGACTTAATTCACTTAGTGAGTGCCTGTGATTCCCCCAGGCCCTGTTCTATGCATTGGGGATAAAGCAGTGATCAAAGCAGACCCAAACCCCTGTCTTTGTGGAGCTGCCATTCTGATGGAGTGAGACAGATGATAAACATGGTCAATTTGTGAAGCATATTTTAGAAGGCCAGATGCTATAGAAAAAAAAGGAAAGCAGGGAAAGAGGTTATGGAGTAGGGAGAGGCTGCCATTTTTCTTTTTTTTTTTTGACAGAGTCTCACTCTGTTTGGCATGATCTTGGCTCATTGCAGCCTCCACCTCCTGGGTTAAATCAATTCTCTTGCCTCCGCCACCTGAGAAGCTGGGATTACAGGCGTGCCCCACCACACCCAAATAATTTTTGTATTTTTAGTAGAGACGGGGTTTTGCCATGTTGACCAGGCTGGTCTCGAACTCCTGACATCAAGTGATCCACCCACCTCAGCCTTCCAAAGTGCTGGGATTACAGGCGTGAGTCACTGCACCTGGCCCAAGACTGCCATTTAAAATGGATTGTAGGCTGGGTCCCGTGGGTCATGCCTGTAATTCCAGCACTTTGGAAGGCTGAGGCAGGAGGATTGTTTGAGGCCAGGAGTTGAGACCAGCCTGGGCAACATAGCAACACCTCATCTCTATAAATAAATAAATAAAATAAAATAATAAAATAGGGCAGTCAGGGAAGGCTTGAGTCAGTGACATTCGAGCAAATACATTTAAAATATATTCTCCAATTTAAAACTGTTAATTAAAAAGTAGACTTTAATGTTGAAAATGCAAACTTGGGGAGGGTAGAAAGATCACACACAAGGTTGTCACTTCACACTTGGAGGGTCACACAGCAGCCGGGCAGAGGCGCTCCTCACTTCCCAGATGGCACAGTGGCCAGGCAGAGGCACTCCTCACTTCCCAGACGGTGGGGCGACCAGGAAAAGGCGCTCCTCACTTCCCAGACAGTGGGGCGGCCGGACAGAGGCTCTCCCCAGTTCCCAGACGAGGGGGGAGTGGCGGGGGCCACGCAGAGGCTCTTCTCACTTCCCAGATGGTGCAGTGACTGGGCAGAGGTGCTCCTCACTTCCCAGACGGTGCAGTGACTGGGCAGAGGCCCTCCTCACTTCCCAGACGGTGGGGTGACCAGGTAGAGGCCCTCCTCACCTCCCAGATGGTGGGGTGACCAGGCAGAGGCCCTCCTCACCTCCCAGATGGTGGGGTGGCTGGGCAGAGGCCCTCCTCACTTCCCAGATGGTTCAGTGACCGGGCAGAGGTGCTGCTTACTTCCCAGACAGTGCAGTGACTGGGCAGAGGGGCACCTCACTGAGCAAATATTTTATAGGAGGTACAGGAGTGAGTCACATGCACGTCTGCAGAAAGAACATTTCAGGCCACAGGTACTGCAATAGGCAAGGTCTCTGATGGTGGCAGTAGCAGAAAGAATGAGTCCCAGTGCAGCCAGAGCAGGGGAGCAGGTGGGAGGCCCAGAGATGAGGGCTGGAAGCCAGATGGCACAGGGGCCTGACCACCGCCTCCTCACCCACTCTGCAGGTTGACAAACAGCGCTCGCGCCTGCCAGTCTCCCTGAGCGAGGGTCGCCTGCGTGTGTACCAGAGTGGACCACGGGCCGTGGTGGAGCTGGTCTTTGGGCTGGTGGTCACTTATGACTGGGACTGCCAGCTGGCACTCAGCCTGCCTGCACGCTTCCAAGACCAGGTGTGCGGGCTGTGTGGCAACTATAATGGTGACCCAGCAGACGACTTCCTCCTGCCTGACGGGGATCTGGCTCCTGACGCTGTGGAGTTCGCAAGTAGCTGGAAGCTGGATGATGGGGACTACCTGTGTGAGGATGGCTGCCAGAACAACTGTCCCACCTGCACCCCAGGCCAGGCCCAACACTATGAGGGCGACAGACTCTGTGGCATGCTGACCAAGCTTGATGGCCCCTTTGCTGTCTGCCATGGCACCCTGGACCCCAGGTCCTTCCTGGAGCAGTGTGTATATGACCTGTGTGTGGTCGGTGGGGAGCGGCTCAGCCTGTGCCGTGGCCTCAGCGCCTATGCCCAGGCCTGTCTGGAGCTTGGCATCTCAGTTGGGAACTGGAGACCTCCAGCCAACTGCCGTAAGTGATGCCCTGGGGAGAGCTGGGAGCATACAGTGAGGGGCAGGAGATCCCTAGCATCTGCTCAATATCTGAGAAGTTATTGTGGTTCAGCCTGGTGCTGGGCAATGCCAGAGGCCTAGTGATGGCCAAGACAGCCAGCCACAATGAGCCTAAGATTGGAGGAGATGTTTCACTAGACATTCACAGTGTGGAGGGGTCCAGGCAGGATGGGGAGGCCCACTCGGAGGGGTTGGGGCCAGGATGAGAGAGAGACAGGCGGATGAGTCAGGGCTGGGACTGGGGGGACACAGGCAGAGGGGTCAGGGCCAGGATGGAGGAAGTCAGTGGGCGCTGTGGGAAACCAGAGGAGGTTCCCGGCCCAGCCTGGGGAGCAGGGGTGGTCAGGGAGGGTTTTCTAGAGAAAGGGATGCACAATTTGAAACCCATAAGAAAGTTGCCAAGAGAAAGAGGAGGAAGTGAGTTGCAGGCCCAGAGAACAGCATGCTCAAAGGCTTGGCAGGACAGGAATTCGTGTCTGCAGAATCCCGGCACAGACATGTGATGTCTCTTCCTTTGCCTATAGTCCTCCCATGACTCCCATTGCCCTCTAGATGAGGCTCAGGCTCTTTAGCCGGGTGTCCATCTGCTTTATCATTCACTCATTCATTCCACAAGCATTCCTTGAACCCCTGCCTGCCCCCCTGTGCATGCTGATGATATCGAAGACACAGTGAGGACCAGCATAGATCTGTTCCTGCCCTTGTGAGTGAAGCTCCCAGAGACATGTCCCAGAGGCAGAAAGGACAGGTGGGAGGGAGGAAGAGGCATCCAGACCCAGACCCAGAGAGAGGGGAGTAAGTACAGGGGAGACATAGAGGCCACGAGGTGTTTGTCTTGGCTAGTGCTGTCTGTGTCCCCACTGCCCAGTAAGCACCGCCCCCACCCAACTCCACGCCTGGCACAAAATGGGAACCAGAGAGTTCATTTATTCTCCCATTCATTTCTGCAGTATTTCCTGAGCACCTGCTGTGCACCAGGCCCTGTCCTTGGTACTGGGGACTCAACAGTGATTCAGACAGATCAGGTCCCCACTCCTGTAGAACTTATCGCTTAGAGGGAGGGGATAAACTAGGAAGTATCTTCAGAGAACCAAAGAAACAAGTTCATGCAATGACAGTGACTGTGAGGCTGGTGAAGAGGGTGACCAGGGAAGGCGTTTCTGGACAGGTAACATTGGAGCTGAGACCATGGTCAGGCAATGGAGTCAGCTAAGTCCTAACAGTGATGTCCACAGAACGTTTCCCCATAGATCAACTCATTTAATCCCCACAACAACTGTGTGAGGTCTGGACTACATTATCCCATCTTACTGATGGGGAAACTGAGGCACGGGGAGATTGGAGTCAGTGGCTGAGAAGGAGAGATCTGGGATTTGAACCCCGGCCACCTGGGCCCCAGTGGCTTTCTGTGGAAAGGGAAAGCAGAGGGCACAGGCAGTGCAAAGGCCCTGAGGTGGAAGTGTGAGGACCCGGGAGGAGAAGGCAGCTGGGGCTGGGGCAGAGTGAGCCCGAGGGAAAGGGAGAGGAGGTGAGGGCCGAGAGGTGAGAGGAGCAGATGGCACAGGTCCTCCTGGGGCATGGGAAGGACTCTGGCGTTTACCCTGAGTGAGAGGAAGCCACAGGAGTGCTCTGAGACAGGGAGGGACCTGATCTGACCCAGACGTTCCCAGCTCCCTCCGGCGGGTGTGAGGAACAGGCTGGCGGGGCAGGAGGGAGCCCAGGCAGGAGGCTGCTGCGGTGGATAGGACCAGAGGCAGATTCTGTAACTGGGTGGAATTTTTTTTTTTTTTTTTGAGACAAAGTCTTGCTCTGCGCCCAGGCTGGAGTGCAATGGTACGGTCTTGGCTCACTGCAACCTCCGCTTTCCTGGTTCAAGCGATTATCCTGCCTCAGCCTCCCGAGTAGCTTGGATTACAGGCGTGCGCCACCACTCCTGGCCAGTCTGGGTAGATTTTGAATATGGAGCTCACAGGACTTGCTGACAGATGGGTTGTCCAGTAAGCGTTAGGGGGTTGGCGGGGTGGAGATTAACTGCATCGCTAGGGTGTGGCGCAGGAGCACCCAGAAGGATGGCAGTGCTATTATCTGAGATGGCGAGCTCTGAGAGAAGAGCAGGGTTTGGGGAGGGAATTCCTGGGCGCTGTCCCCGACAGGGCGCCCTTCGACGGCCCCTGCTGCGCGGGCCTGATCCACCCTCTCTGATCTCCCCGCAGCCCTGTCCTGCCCTGCCAACAGCCGCTATGAGCTCTGCAGCCCTGCCTGCCCGGCCTCCTGCAACGAGGCTGCGGCCCCGTCCAACTGCTCCGGGCGCCCCTGCGTAGAAGGCTGCGTGTGCCTCCCGGGCTTCGTGGCCAGCGGCGGCGCCTGCGTGCCGGCCTCGTCGTGCGGCTGCACCTTCCAGGGTCTCCAGCTCGCTCCAGGCCAGGAGGTGTGGGCGGACGAGTCGTGCCGAAGGCGCTGCACCTGCAACGGCGCCACCCATCAGGTGACCTGCCGCGACACACAGGGCTGCCCGGCGGGTGAGATCTGCAGCGACCAGAACGGCCTCCTGGGCTGCTACCCCAATCGCTTCGGGACCTGTCAGGGGTCCGGGGACCCACACTATGTGAGCTTCGACGGCCGGCGCTTCGACTTCATGGGCACCTGCACGTACCTGCTGGTGGGCTCATGCGGCCAGAACGCAGCGCTGCCCGCCTTCCGGGTGCTGGTGGAAAATGAGCATCGGGGAAGCCAGACTGTGAGCTACACGCGCGCCGTGCGGGTGGAGGCCCGCGGGGTGAAGGTGGTGGTGCGCCGGGAGTACCCGGGGCAAGTTCTGGTGAGCGACGCAGCGCCCAGGGCTGGGTGGCCGGGCAGGAAATACCCTCTGAAGACTTGGAGCTCTGGGTGGGTCTGGGGGTGGGGGAGGCCTGTTAGAATATCTTATTTTTTTTCATTTTCCTTTTTCCTTTTTGTGGAGAATGGAGTCTCACTAAGTTGCCCAGGCTGGTCTCCAACTCCTGGGCTCAAGTGACACTCCCTGCCTCAGCTTCCGGAAGTGCTAGGAAGTGAGCAATGATCGCGCCATTGCACTCTGGCCTGGGTGACAGAGTGAGACCCCCGTCTCTATTTTTAAAAGGAAGCTAGTGACCGGGCACGGTGGCTCACGCCTGTAATCCCAGCACTTTGGGAGGCCAAGGAGGGTGGATCATCTGAGGTTTGAGGCCAGCCTGACCAACATGGTGAAACCCTCTCTCTACTAAAAATACAAAGAAAAAAATTAGCCAGGCGCAGTGGTTCACACCTGTAATCCCAGCTACTAGGGAGACTGAGGGAGAATCACTTGAACCCAGGAGGTTGCAGTGAGCCAAGATTGCACCATTGCACTCCAGCCTGGGTAACAGAGTGAGACCTTGTCAAAAAAAAAAAAAAAAAGGAAGCTAGTATGGTCGCAGCAGCCTGAGTGAGAGGGACAGTGAGAAGAGGTGAGGTAAGGGAGGTAATGGGGAGATAGACAGGTCATGTACGTTTTGAAGGCCATGGGTGAGGGATTTAAATTTAAGCTGGTGCTTTAGGAATGAAGAGGGGTGAATGGTGAGCCAGGCAGAGGGAACAGCAAGTGCAAAGGCCTTGAGGTGGGACTGAGCATAGTATGTCCAAGAGAATAGCAAGGTCAGGGTAGCTGGAGGTGAGTGAGCTGAAGGTTGGGTCACAGAGCCGTGAATACCCTGACCAGGTGGCCCTCTTGCATCTCCACCCAGGTGGATGACGTCCTTCAGTACCTGCCCTTCCAAGCAGCAGATGGGCAGGTGCAGGTGTTCCGCCAGGGCAGGGACGCCGTCGTGCGCACGGACTTTGGTCTGACTGTCACCTACAACTGGGATGCACGAGTGACTACCAAGGTGCCCAGCAGCTATGCTGAGGCCCTGTGTGGACTCTGTGGGAACTTCAACGGGGACCCAGCTGACGACCTGGCTCTGCGGGGTGGGGGTCAAGCTGCCAATGCACTGGCTTTTGGGAACAGCTGGCAAGAAGAGACAAGGTCCGGCTGTGGAGCAACTGAACCGGGTGATTGTCCCAAGCTGGACTCCCTGGTGGCCCAGCAGCTGCAGAGCAAGAATGAGTGTGGAATCCTCGCGGACCCCCAGGGGCCCTTCCGAGAGTGCCACAGCAAGCTGGACCCCCAGGGTGCCGTGCGCGACTGTGTGTATGACCGCTGCCTGCTGCCAGGCCAGTCTGGGCCACTATGTGACGCATTGGCCACCTATGCTGCTGCATGCCAGGCCGCTGGAGCCACAGTGCACCCCTGGAGGAGTGAAAAACTTTGCTGTGAGTACCGGAAGTGGCAACTGGGGGACTCAGCCTTATATATGTAGTCATTAATGTATAAATATCATTAATTCATTTAATCCTTGTTATAGCCCTCTGAGGTAGGGATTGTGGTTGTACCCATTTAACAGACGAAGAAATTGAGGTTCAGAAAGGTTCAGTTACACACCTGGGATCATGATAGCTAGAAAGTCACAGATGGTGGGCATGCTATTGCTATTAGTTTTTTTTTTAGATGGAGTCTCGCTCTGTCATCAGGCTGGAGTGCAGTGGCGTGATCTCGGCTCACTGCAACCTCTGACTCCCTGGTTTAAGCTATTCTCCTGCCTCAGCCTCCAGAGTAGCTGGGATTACAGGCACACGCCACCACGCCCAGCTAAGTTTTGTATTTTTAGTAGAGATGGGGTTTCACCATGTTGGCCAGGATGGTCTCGATCTCCTGACCTTGTGGTCCGCCCACCTCAACCTCCCGAAGTGCTGGGATTACAGGCGTGAGCCACCGTGCCCGGTAGCAGTTGGTATTTGTAAAATGACTGAGTACACCTGGTGGCCCAGGGTCTGATTCCCGCATAACAGCTGTCATTGAGATATGAGCAACGGTATTGTCATTACGAGTCTCATCCCCTATCTGGTTCTTTTTGGTCCCCATCTATCCTACCTCACTTATTTACATCTGCCTGACCCGTTGAACAGTCAGTTTGAGAGCCTTGTTTCACAGGTGGGTGCATGAATGGTTTTCCAGTGCCTTTGCTTGCCTATGAAAGAAGTTTGAAAAGCCATGTATCCTCTCACCTGACTTTTTTTTTTTTTTTTTTAAGATGGGGTCTTGCTCTGTTGCCTAGGCTGGAGTGCAGTGGTGCAATCATAGCTTACTGCAGCCTGGAATTCCTGGGCTCAAGTGATTCTCCTGCCTCAGCCTCCTGAGTAACTGAAACAGCAGGCATGTACCACCCCAGCTAATTTTTAAAATATTTTTTATAGAGGCGGGGTTTTGATTTTTTGCCCAGGCTGATCTTGAGCTCTTGGTCTCAAGCAATCCTCCTGCCTCGACCTCTCAAAATACTGGGATTACAGGTGTGAGCCATCGTACCAGTTTCCTCTCATCTGATTTTTAATTTCTAAAATTCATTATTGAAATATAATACAGATATTTTAAAATACATACATATCACAAGCTAACAGCTTGATCAGTTTTCATCAAGATAACAAATCTGTGTGAACAGTCCCAAATTCAAGAAAAAAAAATCCAGGTTCCCAACCCCAAGAGGTAACCACTATTCTGACTTCTAAAGTTTTTGAATTTTGGAATTAATGGAAGCATACATGTCTAGTTTTTCACCTGAAATAATTATAAAATGTAAAATTTCCAACAAATGGTAACTTTTGACTTTTAAGAACTTTTTTTTTGAGATGGAGTCTCACTCTGTCATTCAGGCTAGAGTGCAGTGGCGCGAACTCAGCTCACTGCAACCTCCGCTGGGACTACAGATGCCCGCCACCACGCTTGGCTAATATTTTTGTATTTTTAGTAGAGACGGGGTTTCACCATGTTGGCCAGGCTGGTTTTGAACTCCTGACCTCAAGTGATCCACTCAACTCGGTCTCCCAAAGTGCTAGAATTACAGGCGTGAGCCACTGCGCCCAGCCTTAAGAGCCTTTTTATTAGGGAAAAATTTAAACATACCCGAAGTAAACTAGGATAGTGAGCCCGAATATATCCATCGTTTAGTTTCCACAATTATCAACATAATACTGATATTTCAAAATGAAACTATTACTTGACTTATGCTCCTCTTTTAAATGTATTCACCAGATACATAGTCCTCATACATTACATAGTCCTCATAGTTATACATTACAGGCATGAGTCACCACGACTGGCCAAGTATTTATTCTTTCTCATGATTCTGGGGGCTGCTGAGCTGTTCTCCCAGCCTGGGCCAGCTTGGTTGATCTCTGCAGGCTGTTAGAGGCTCAGCCGAGGCTGGGTAATCGAGGGTGATTTTACACATTAGCAGTTGTCAAGCTGGTTGGTTTGGAGGGCACTCAGCTGGGACTTCTTGTCTCTGCTCAACTTGGTCTCATCTTCTTTTTTTTTTTTTTTTTTTTTTTTTTTGAGACGGAGTCTGGCTCTGTCACCCAGGCTGGAGTGCAGTGGCCGGATCTCTGCTCACCGCAAGCTCCTCCTCCCGGGTTCACGCCATTCTCCTGCCTCAGCCTCCGGAGTAGCTGGGACTACAGGCGCCCGCCACCTCGCCCGGCTAGTTTTTTGTACTTTTTAGTAGAGACGGGGTTTCACCGTGTTAGCCAGGATGGTCTCGATCTCCTGACCTCGTGATCCGCCCATCTCGGCCTCCCAAAGTGCTGGGATTACAGGCTTGAGCCACCGCGCCCGGCCTGGTCTCATCTTCTAGCAGGTGAGCCCAGGCTTCTTCCCAAGGTGCCCTCAAGAGTCCTAAAGCAACAAGAGCACAAGCCCCAGTGTGCAAGCACTTTCCAAGGCTCTACTTGGTATCATGGTTGCCAAAGTCCCATTGGCCAAAGGAAGCACCATGGTCATGCCCAGAGTCAAGACGTGACCCTTGGAAGCCTGTGTCACGATCCCCATCACACTTCTCTGCCACAAGTGTACACATATATGACTAAGATTTCAGAATTTTTATCATCCTAGCTACTCAGGATGCTGAGGTGGGAGGATCCCTAGAGGCCTGGAGTTAGAGACCAGCCTGGGCAGCATAGCAAGAGCCTGTTTCTGAAAAACAGTGCGAGCTGGGTGCTGTGGCTCACGCCTGTAATCCCAGCAGTCTGGGAGGCTGAGGTGGCTGGATCATCTGAGGCCAGGAGTTTGAGACCAGGCTGGCCAACATGGTGAAACCCCGTCTCTACTAAAAATACTAAAAATTAGCAGGGTGTGATGGTGGTTGCCTGTAATCCCAGCTACTCGGGAGACTTAGGCAGAAGAATCGCTTGAACCAGGGAAGCGGAGGTTGCAGTGAGCCAAGATCACGCCACTGCACTCCAGCCTGGGCAACACAGCAAGACTCTGTCTCAAAAAATAAAATAAAATTAAATTAAATTAAAAATAAAATAAAATAAGCAGTGCAGTCTCCACCCATCCCAAATCTTAACATGTGGCGTGTTGCCCTGGGGTGTGAAACCCCCCGGGACAAAACAGCCTTCTTATAAAAGATATCAGAAGTTTTAGAAATTCCTGAGACTATAAGACTCTAAGTGGTTTTTTTAATGGAGTAAGATATCATTGCAAGCATTGTTTGTGTACAATTGATAAAAATATTAAACAGAAGTAAATTGTAATGGCCATTGTAATGGCATCGTTCGGTGAGATGAATGGAGCTTACCCCCACCCAGTATTTCACATATATTATTAGAATGAGACAGGGTTCAGCATCAATTCTAATCCTACCTTTTATTTTTGTATATATGATATTTATTTATTTTTGAGATAAGATATTATCCTGTCACCGAGGCTGGAGTCCAGTGGCATGATCACAGCTCACTGTAGCCTCAATCTCTGGGCTCGAGTGGTCCTCCTGTGTCAGCCTCCTGAGTAGCTGGGACTACAGGTGCACACTACCATGCCTGGCTATTTTTTTATTTTTTTGTAGACACAAGATCTCGCTATGTTGTCTAGGCTGGTCTCAAACTCCTGGGCTCAAGCCATCCTCCCGCCTTGGCCTCCCAAAGTGCTGAGATTACAGACTTGAGCCACAGCTCCTGGCTTACGTGATATGGATAAGTGGGTGGGAATGGACGGAGTGCAGGTAGAGTAACATCACTCCGTGCTCTGAACCCCTCCTGAGTCATAGGGAAGGCACACAGTGAGACAGCACAAAATTTATTTTTTATTATCTGTGAGCCGCCAATTCTATTAGGCCCTCTTTTTGATCTATTACTCAATAATGAGTGAGCATTCGTTGTGTTCACAGTGATAGCAATATTTGAAATTGTCTGTTTATGTCCTCAGAGGTTTCACACCCCAGGGCAGTGTGCCATGTGTTAAGATTCAGGATGGGGTCGGGTACCGTGGCTCACACCTGTAATCCCAGCACTTTGGGAGGCCGAGGCGGGCAGATCACTTGAGGTGAGGAGTTCAAGACCAGCCTGGCCAATATGGCAAAATTAGCAAAACCCTGTCTCTACAAAAAATACAAAAATTAGCTGGGCATGGTGGTGAGCGCCTGTAATCCCAGCTACTCAGGAGGTTGAGGCAGGACAATCTTTGCTTAAACCTGGGAGGCAGAGATTGCAGTGAGCCGAGATCGCACCACTGCATTCCAGCCTGGCCCATAGATCGAGACTCTGTCTCAAAAAAAAAAAAAAAATAAATAAAGGTTCAGGATGGGTTGGGGACTGCACCGTTCTCTTCTGTAAAGTGGAGAAAGCACGCTTGTGAAGGGGACAGGTGGACAATGGGAAGCGGGAATGCTCCTCTAACAGAGCATTCTTGGGCTCTCCTTTTAGGGAGGACACGTATAATTCCAGCTGGCAGTTGTGTGACACGCATCCCACTGGGCAGCTCCTGTTCTAAGGGTTTCTCATTGAATCCTCACAACCACCCCCTGAGGTGGAATTGCTCTTATTCCTACTTTACAAGATGAAGAAAGAGAACCACAGAGATGTCAAGGAACTAGCCTGAGGTCACACAGCTGGTGGGGTGATTTGAACAGGCTGGCTCCTGATTTTGTGCTGTTAATTATTAGACTCTGTGGCTTCTGTGAAAATTGAGAATCTCTTGTTTCCTCAAAATTCCTCTTGTCCTTGTACCCCTTGGAAGTTCTAGAAGACTGGATCATGAGGGCTTAGACATGCAGATGGAGGCCTGACCCAGCTTCAACAATTATTGGTATTTTGCCATTCTTAGTTCCTCTACATCTCACTCCACCCCCTCTTTTTTTTTTATAGAATATTTTAGATCAAATTCTAGGCAGATGAGTTCTCCTCTAACTACTTCAGTAAGCATCTGTATTCAGCAACAAAAATGGACTTTTAAGGAACAGGACTTCCCTTTTCATGCCTGTAATCCCAGCACTTTGGGAGGCCTAGGTGGAAGGATCGCTGGAGGCCAGGAGTTCAAGGCCAGCCTGGGCAACATAACAAAACCCTGTCTCTACAAAAATAAAAATAAAGAATAAGCTGGGCGTGGTGACTGGTGCCTATCATTTCAGCTACTCAGGAGGCTAAGGTGGGAGAATATCTTCAGCCCAGGAGGTGGAGGCGGCAGTGAGCCGAGACTGTGCCACTGCACTCCAATGAGACCCTGTCTCTAAAAAAAAAAAAAAAAAAAAAGGAAGAAAGAGATATGAGGGCATGTGATAATTAATTACCAGTAACAAAAATAATATCAATTCGCTAACATCATGTAAAGCCCAATCTGGGTTCAAATTTTCCCAATTGTCTAAAAAAGAAAAAAAAGGTTTTTTTCTATTTTGTTTGGCTCTAGAACCAAACCAAATACACATACTGCATTGGATTGATCTACCTTGTTGCTTTTACTCTGTCAGAATTTCCTTCCTTTGTTCCTCCCAACATAGTATTATGAAAATTGTCAAATATACAAAAAAGTTGAAAGGATTTTACAGTGAAGACCCATAAACCTGCCACCTGGACTCTACACTTTAATTCTGTTTCTTTTCTTTTTCTTTCTTTTTTTTTTTTTTTTTTTTGAGACGGAGTCTCGCTCTGTCGCCCAATCTGGAGTGCAGTGGTGCGATCTCAGCTCACTGCAACCTCCGCCTCCCGGGTTCAAGCGATTCTCCCACCTCAACCTCCCACGTAGCTGGGATTACAGATGTGCGCCACCATGCCCAGCTAATTTTTGTATTTTTGGTAGAAATGGGTTTTACCATGTTGGCTAGGCTGGTTTCAAACTCCTGACTTCAAGTGATCCTCCCGCCTCGGCTTCCCAAAGTGCCGTGATTACACGTGTGAGCTACCGCGCCCGGCCTCTACACTCTAATTCTAATTCACTCTCTTGCCTTATCACGTGTCTGTCCCTCCATCCAGCTCTTCCTTTTGTTTATGTCATTTCATTATTGGGAAAGATAGGTCATTTATCCTGCAGAATTTTCTACTTTCGGGATCTGGCTAGTTGCTATTCTGGAGTGTTATTGAACTTGTCCCTATGTCCCCATGATTCTCCTGTAAGCTGGATGGTAGCTTCAGAACAGCACCACCCAGCAGAACTTCAATGATGACAGCTCCATATTTGAGCTGTTCAAATACATACCAGGTTGCCACAGGTCACATGTGGCTGCTGAGCGCTTGCAGTGAGGATGTTGTGACTGAAGGGCTAAAGCTTCAATTTTGTTACATTTTAATTAATTTACATCTAAATGGTCCCAAGTAGCTAGTGGCTACTGTATTAGACAGCACAGATAGAGATTTAATGTGGTTTAGTTTTAGCCACTTAGATTTGCTTTTTATAGACTGGAGTGACTGGAGTGACTCGAGTTTGGGGAGGGGAGAAGGGAGGTGTTTTGTTTTTGTTTTTGTTTTTTTTTAATAACACTGGCTAAATATTTAATTTAATTACTGCTATAGAAGGAAGAAGCTAAAAGTATGGCATTCACAAATACACGGCATAGATTATACACACACACACAAACATATGCATATGCATGTTTAAAATATATACCACATATTAACACCACGTATCCAACTTGAATAAGGTCATTAAAGACATAATAGAAGGCCGGGTGTGGTGGCTCATTCCTGTAATCCCAGCACTTCGAGAGGCTGACGCAGGGGGACTGCTTGAGTCCAGCAGTTTGAGGCCAGCCTAGGCAACATAGCAAGACCCCATCTCTACACAAAATTTAAAAAGTTAGCCAGGCATGGTGGTGCACGTCTATAGTTCCGGCTACCCAGGAGGCTGAAGTGTGAGGATTGCTTGAGCCCAGGAGGTCAAAGCTGCAGTGAGCTGTGATAGCAAGCACCACCGAGCTCCATCCAGCCTGAGTAACAGAGTGACCCATTTCTCAAAAGAAAAAACCATAATAGACAACTCCAAACTACAGTTAAATTGGGAAAGAATCTTAATTATTAGGATCAGATTAACTGCGATGTAATGTGTTCCCCAAGCTCCCTGCAATGGGACCGCTTGTGTGTGAGTGTGTTTGAGCATCTGTGTGTGCATACGAATGTGTTGGGGGACCGCTTGTGTGTAAGTGTGTTTGAGTGTGTGTGTGCATATGAATGTATTGGGGGCTGGGGGGTATCGAGTCCTGCTCCCTGGGAGCAGGAATTCTTGATCTTGATGTCTCCTCTCCCTGCAGCACTGAGCTGTCCACCCAACAGCCACTATGAGGCGTGTTCCTACGGCTGCCCGCTGTCCTGTGGAGACCTCCCAGTGCGCGGAGGCTGTGGCTCAGAATGCCATGAGGGCTGCGTGTGCGATGAGGGCTTTGCGCTCAGTGGTGAGTCCTGCCTGCCTCTGGCCTCCTGTGGCTGCGTACACCAGGGCACCTACTACCCACCAGGCCAGACCTTCTACCCTGGCCCCGGGTGTGATTCCCTTTGCCACTGCCAGGAGGGCGGCCTTGTATCCTGTGAGCCCTCCAGCTGCGGCCCGCACGAGGCCTGCCAGCCATCCGGTGGCACCCACCGCCTCATCCCGGCGGTGGCACCTTGGGCTGTGTGGCCGGCAGGCTCTGCACCTGGCCAGAGACCCCCACTACACCACCTTCGATGGCCGCCGCCCGACTTCAGCGTGACACACCTGCGTGTATGTGCTGGCTCCAGACTTGCGGCACCTAGGCTGGCCTGCATCAGTTTGCCGTCCTGCAGGAGAACGTGGCCTGGGGTAATGGGCGAGTCAGTGTGACCAGGGTGATCACGGTCCAGGTAGAGGCTTCACCCTGCGGCTGGAGCAGGAGCAGTGGAAAGGTCACGGTGAGAGCAGATGGGAGCACGAGGGGTGAGGGCCTGTGGGTGGGTGGGGCACAGGCAGTGCTTCAGCCAAGTTGGGGGCACAGAGATGAAAGATTGCATGTGCGAGGCCTGGGGTCCCTGAGGACAGAACCAATCAGAACCCAGGGTGGGAAGCCTGATAGAGGCAGCCTGCCAGGGACTTGGGAGCTGCTTCCCAATCTCCGTCCCTCAGTCTCCACCCTCTCTTCACCTCCATGCATTAGAGGCTTTTCTTTTTTTCTTTCTTTCTTTCTTTCCTTCTTTCTTTCTTTCTTTTTCTTTTTTTTTTTTTTTTTGAGATGGAGTATCGCTCTGTCACCCAGGCTGTGCAATGGTGCAATCTGGGCTTATTACAACCTCCGCCTCCTGGGTTGATCAATTCTCCTGCCTCAGCCTCCCAAGTAGCTGGGATTACAGGTGCCCACCACCTCACGACTGGCTAATTTTTGTACATTTAGTAGGAGACAGGATTTGTCTGTGTTAGTAACTCCCAGCACAGTCTCGCGAGTATCTCGGCCTTGTGATCCGCCTGCCTCAGCCTCCCAAAGTGCTGGGATTACAGGGTGAATAACCACTGCACCTGGCCGCATGGACTTTTCACTCCAAATCTCTCCCGCCCTCTCTCCTGCCACTCCATCCTCTCCCCACCTCAATCCTGGATTCTGTCCTACTCACCTCCCTATTCTGCCACTCCCTCTTGGCAGGGCGTGGTGCCATCAAAGGTTGAAAGTCAAGGCTTGAGAAGCGCTTCATGGACAGAGGACCGCAATCATGGGTGACACTATCACCCCACCGCAACAACAACAACAAGGCAGCTATGGGTTTTCTATACGCTGACTGCAAACCTTTGGCCGCCAGGCACTTGTATCACATAGTGTGTCTGTATGTGGCAATGCGCCAGGAGCTGCAGGCACCTTAGCGTGCTTTTATTTTTCAGAGTGGGGTGGCATCATGGCCATAGTCACAGCGAGGCTGGGCTTGAACCCTGTGCTGCTGCTCTGCAGAAACTTTGCTTACCCAGAAGATCTGGTCTCCTATGGGGGCCCGGCATCTCAGTTACAGTGGAGGGTTTCCCCTGATATCACTGAAACACAGACACACATAGCTGTTTTTTCCTAGTAGCAGTATATTGTGAAGGTGCTGATAAATTGCTGACTAATCTGTGATGAACTGGACAACCACGTGACTTTTTTTTTTTTTTTTTTTTTGAGACAGAAACTCACTTTGTCACCCCCAGGCTAGAGTGCAGACTCAATCTTGACTCACTACAACTTCTTCCTCCTGGGTTCAAGTAGATTCTCCTGTCTCAGCTACAAATGCCACGCCACCACGCCCAGCTACTTTTTGTATTTTTTTCAAAGTAGAGACGGGGTTTTACCATGTTGCCCAGGATGGTCTCAATCTCCTGACCTTGGGATCAACCCACCTTGGCCTCCCAAAATGCTGGCAGTACAGGCGAGCCACATGCCACGACCAAATTTTTTTGTATAGAGAGAGAGTCTTGCTGTGTTGCCCAGGCTGGTCTCGAACTCCTGGGCTCAGAAGACCCTCCCACCTTGGCCTCCCAAAGTACTGGGGTATTACAGCTGTGAACCACTGCTCCTGACCAATTTTTTTTGTTTATTTAGTATTTTGTAGAGACAGGATCTCCATATGTTACTCAGGCTGACCTTGAACTCCTGGGCTCAAGTGATCTTGCCACCTTGACCTCTCAAAGTGCTAGGACTATAGACCAGAGCCATTGTGCCCCAGGGGAGTGGATTCTGAGGAAGCTTTGTTGGTGCTAGTAACCTTAAACTGAAACCACTGGTCCTCAGCTCATAGGTTTGAGTTCATTTCCCCGAGAATTTAGCCTAACTTTCCACCACTTTGTTGCTTTAAAGCATAAACCTGTGGTGCCCATTTACTCTTCAGAAGAAAAACCTCCATTCATAGCTACCCAATGTGGCAGATGCTCACAAACATGCATGCTATGCCAGCTGTTTCTCTGGCACTTTACGAACATTAATTTATCTACTCTCTACAGTCTGACAACGTTCCATGGAAGACCCCAAACACCTTATTCCCACCTGAGAGATGAGGAAACAGAAACAGGGAGAGGTGACTCACTTGCCCAAGGTCACAAAGAGAGTGCGCAAGAGAAACTGTTTGAACTGGCGGAAGAGGCGGCTCTGGCGCGATCATTGCTTATTAATGCCTGCATCGTGTTACATAAAGAGATAGCTGACTGGTACCACTTTATTGAGACCTGTGTTCATTTCCCAGAAGTAGTGCCATAACATAATTTACCACAAGCTTTGGTGGCTTAAAACAATAGAAATGTGCTTTTCCACAGTCCTGGATGCCAGGAAGTTCAACATCAGGGTGTGCAAGCTAAGAGCTGCCTCAAAGAGCACTGGTTGGGGGATCTTGCTTTCCCTTTCCAGCTCTGGAGGCTCCCGGGTTCTCTGGGCTTGTGACCACACCATTCTAATCTGTGCCTTCATCTTCATGTGGCCCTTTCTGTGTGTCTCTGTGTCTTTTTCTTTCTGGCTCTTATAAGGACACCTGTCATTGGATTTAGGGCCCAGCAATTCCCAGGATAATCTCATGTTGACATTATTTCCCTGAATGCATCTGCAAAGAACTTTATTCAATTAGGCTCCCATTATGCACACCAGGGTTCGGGAGTGAATAAGCATTTTATGGACCACCATTCAATCCACTATGAGGAGCCCTATTATTCTACAGTTTTAGAGATACAAATACAAAAGTGAGGACAGTCTAAGAGGTGAGACACACAGATCTTCAGCATCAGGCATGGGCTTGAACTAGGTCGACCTCCCACTCAAATTTACTTTCTGGGCGTGGCCTGCCTCTCTCGCCTCCCAGGTGAGCGGTGTGGACACGAGGCGCCCGTGGTGCTGGCCAGCGGCCAGATCCAGGCCTCAGCATGGATTTCAGGCGTTGTGATTGAGACCGACCGGCCTGCGTGTGGCCCTCCCGACCTTGTGTACTATGTGCGGGTCACCATCCCTGGAAACTACTACCAGCAGATGTGCGGCTGTGTGGGAACTGGCGTGACCCCAAGGATGACTTCCAGAAGCCCAAGCGGCTCTCCACAGGTGAGCAAGCCAATGACTGGCAACTCTGGAGGAGGCGGTGCCTGGCTCTCCTGCCGCCACCCACCTGCCTGCCAGGAGCGAGGAGCTGCATGACATCAGCAGTGTCCTCTGAGCAGGAGAAAATGTCAGAAGGAGGAGTTCTGTGGAAGCTCCTCCAGCGCCACAGGAGGAAGGGCATGGCCTCCTGCCACAAGCTAGTAGATCCCAGGGGTCCCTTGCAAGGTGCGTCTTTGATCTCTGCCTGGGTGGTGAGACCTGAGCATTCTCTGCAGCAACATCCATGCCTATGTAGTGCTTGCCAAGGCGGCTGGAGGCCACGTGAAGCCCTGGAGGACGGAAACTTTCTGTCGTAGGTAGGGAGAGCCAGAGAGGGGAAGCAGGAGGAGAGGCTGAAGCACAGAAGGGTAGACCTGGGCCTTTGCAGCCCTTCCCTTCCCAGGCTCTGATGGGCACCCCCTCCTTGCAGCCACCGTGCCAGCGAACAGCCTCCCAAAGCTCTGCTGGTTTTGCCTACTCCCTGGGCTGCGCGCTCTCCCATTACCCCTCTGCAGTGCCTGCCTTAGAGTAGTGTGCTGAAGGCTGCCAGTGACGCGGCTTCCTCTACAACGGTGAAGCCTGGTACCATAACATCTGAAACACTGCCACAATGGTGTCTGAGGAGGTAGGAACCTAGTCATCTCTAGGACAGAATATGGGGCCTCACCCTCCCCACTCACTCATCTGGCCCCCACAGCTACTTGGTGTACTTGGTGCTCTTATTTATTCTTTTGGGAGTCAGGGATCTTGCTCCTGCCTGTCACCCAGGCTGTGGAGTGCAGTGAAGTACGATCATAGCTCACTTGCAGCCCGAGTTCATGGCTCAGTGATCAGCCACCTCTTTCCATTATTTGGGACTACAGGCGTGTACCACAAGCCCAGCGAGTTAATTTTCTTGTGGGGCATGACACAGGAGCAGTAGGAAACGTCTCACTGTGTTGCATCCATGGGCTGGTGTAGACTCCAGGCCTCAACCATACTTCACTTTTGCCCTCCCCAAGTATTGGGATTAATGGCGAGCACCACATACCTGGGTGACTCAGCCTCTCTCTCTCTCTGTTTTTTTTTTTTTTTTTTTTTTTTTTTTGAGACTGAGTCTTATATCCATCCAGGCTGGAGTGCAACCTCCACCCTCCCCAGGTTCAAACTCACTGCAGCCTCAGCTCGGGTTTCAAGTGATTCTCTCCTGCCTCAGCCTCCCGGCTAGGACTACAGGCATGGGCCACCGCCACAGTGGTCAGTTGAAGTAGAATGTGAGTTTCCATATTGGCTGGGTAGTCTCGAACTCCTGGCTTCAAGTGATCCTCCACCCTTGGCCTCCCAAAACACAGGATTAGTGTGACCACTGCAGCTGGTTTACTCAGCCTCTTGAATGTCTCTTGCCCACCTCCTTTTGCCAGTACCATGGCTCACAGCAGTCTTGGCCTGGTCCTCTCCACCTGGGTCCACCTCAGCTCTACCTTTGCTCCACCTCTGATCCACCACTGCCTCCACTTGGCAGTAGTAAAGATCTTCCTAAAAAATATGACCATGCCCAGGCTCGGCTTACAAGCCCTTCCCTGACTCCCAAGAGTGAGATTGTGGCTTTACCTTGGAGTCCTGGGCGAAAGGGGCACTCCGGCCTGAGACAGGTGCACCATCTGTTATACCAGCACCTGCTGCTTTCTCTGTTTCCCTCTCCCACTCTCTCCTGTTAAATTCCTTTCCAACTGACTGGGCACTGTATTTGTCTAATGTCCATCCCTTACTGGGAGTGTGAGCTGCCTGAGGTGGGACCCTCTCTACTGTGTGTCCCATTTATTGCATGAGTAATGGTAATATTAACAGAAAATATAGCAAGTAGTGCTTTATGTATCTGGTCACGTTTTAAGTGCTATGTGTGCATATTTTACATACACATTACATATCTAAAAATTTTTGATGCGAAAATTTTCAAACATGTAAAAAGTAAGAGAACAGTGGAATGTCTGTCCATGTACTTACCCATCTTGGTTTAAAAATAAACCACATCACTCCAATCTTGTTTTTATGTCTACCCATTTATCTCTCTCTATCTGAATGTTTAAGGGAGCACTCTGCTTCTCATCTGCACTTTACATGTGTTATTCTTGGAGACATAATTCACCAGGCCCAGGAGGGTGCTATTATGTCAGTTTGCAATCAAACCTGTACACTAAAGAGGTGAAATAACTTGCTCAAAAAGTCTGCTGATTTAAGGAAAGCCGCAAAGCAGACTAAACCCGTGATCTGCCCTTAGTTACTATGTCACACCGTTTCTCCTACAGCAGACATTAGCAGATACTTTGGAATGAATGAGTAAATGAATAAAAGTGAATAGTTTTCAAATGTACACAAATGAATACGGCCCCAAACCCATGCTGTGCCTCAGCCTGCAGATAAGGGGACCATCCTTATAGGAAATGTACACTTGTCTGTGATGTCTGCAAACCCCTCTGTGCCCAGAATGCCAGAGATGTGAGAGTCGGCTCCACCACAAGTGGTGTCTGGTATTCAAGCCGTGCCCTCTCTCCCCACAGCCGGAGCAGACAGTCCTCATTGACGACTATCGGCAGCAGTGCGTACCATGGGTAAGGCGTGTTGTGCCAGGAACACAGCTGCCAGCCGAGGCGGAGTGTGCAGCCCTCCCGGGAAAATGCAGAGATCACATCACGAGGTGCTGGGCTGGGCTGGGACTGGGGCTGATGTGACTATGGATGGAGTACAGGGACTCTGGGGCCGAAGGTGATGTGAGCTGCGGTGTCCATGTGAGGAGGTGCACAGGACTGTGATGGAGAGTCGCAGACCTGGAGACCCCTGAGCTGGGTTCACAGGGCCAAGACTGCCTCTTTAGCAGGGGAGGCAGGGACCCTTAGGGAAAATCAGGCTGTGAGGACCCTCAGAGGTTTCTCAGGACTTTGATATCAAAGGGCCCTGCAGTATAAAACAAGGGATTCAAGCGCACTTTGTAATCTAGGACTCACATAGTAAGTATTTTAACACAGGCCTGTATTCTCGTTCAACTGCTCACTCTGCCCTGCATTGGCATCAAAGCATTTGTAGACTCTATAAGCGAAGATGAAGCTCTATAAGACTTTTTGAATACAAGAGCAGCAGCCTAGGGGCCATGGTGAGCTAACTACCAATGTCTGTGAGGATTAGGCTTGGGGGCTTCAGACACGCTGCAGGGCAAGAGAGGAGGACCAGAATCCAGGGGGACAGGGACAGAGAGCAGAGTTCTGAGTCTCCAGGCACAGAGACCCCATAAGCAAGGACTTTTTTTTGGCTGTGTGGGGACCCTCTAAAGTGGGGAGATGTCAAAGATTTTAGGGGTATAGTCTCCCGATGTGGGAACCCACAGACCAGTACAGGACACAGAGCCACCCCAGGTCATTTCAACCCAGGGTGAAAGCAGAGGGCCTCCTCCGCATGGATAAGAGAATAGAAACCAGCACAAGGGTGCAGGCTAAGACTCTCAGGGTGATGGGCAGGACAATGGGACTCAGGCAGGTATATCAGCTCAGCACCAGTGGAGAGACAGAAAGCACCCAGCCATTTGAATGAGAAGGATTCAATTAAAGAATCATTTGCCCATTATCTAGGAATTAACTATTAACGGGTAAGGGCCTGGTGCGGTGGCTCACACACCGCCACTTACAGGAGGATTGCTTTAAGGCCAGGAGTTCAAGACCAGCCTGGGCAACATAGCGAGACACCCGTCTCCACAAAAAAATTTAAACGCTGCCAGGCGTGGTGATATGCGCCTGTGGTCCCATCCATTAGGAAGCTCAGTTGGAGGATCTCACTTGAGCCCAGGAGTTCGAGGCTGCAGTGAGCTATGATTGTACCACTGCCTCATCTCATGAACTAGAGTAACAAGACCTGTCTCTTTACAAACAAACAAACAAAACCAAATAAATAGAAATAAAAGCAGTAAAGAGAACACACAAAGAAATACCACCAAAGCAGACAGAAGAGGAAGTAGCCCCCACTTCTAGGAGTAAGGTAGAGGCCTCATGGAAGGGAGAAATTGGCCCCTCTTCTTCAGGGAGGGAGAATCAGCCCAGGCTGAGTCCAATGTTACTGCAGCTGTAGCCCACTGGGTGGCACAGGGTTTCTACCCAGGCTGGAGTTGGCAGAAGGAAACCCCTCACTGGGAAGCCAGCTGCAGGACCGTGGCACTCACTGACTGTGGCCACACACACCTGGCCAAATGGAAGAGGCCAAATAGCTGCAGAGCCCAGACCAGGAGCCCCTCCCTGCTGCAGTGACTCTCCAGCGCCTCTGTTGACAAAGCAACTTCCGCACGGGTGCCTCTGAAGCTGAGAGAGGCCATTTGACCCAAGCTGCTTGACTGGAGGAAGGAAACATTGGGAGCTGGCCTCTCCCACACAGGGGGTTCACACAAGCTGGGTCTCGGAGAGCCATAGCAGTAACTGTAGGAACAGGGTCTTGGACACAGAAGCCCTCCAAGGACAGGGCCTCTAGCACATTGAGACTTGCCTCAAAGGCTGCACTGGCTTGAATAGCAACCCTCACAAAGGATGGAGTTTTTGCACTGAGGGAGGCCCAGGCCATGAGACTTAGCTAGTTAGGGCCTCAAACGTTTCAAAATCTGCTGAACCCCTGGCACTGAGCTCTTGCCAGAAGATCACCCAGGGCCCCAGTCTACAGAGGCTGCAGAGGCTCCCAGGACCTGGAGAAATTGGAGACCAATTGCTATCAAATGTGGAGACGTCCAGAGGCTGAGGTCTCAGGCATGAGACCCTGAGGCCTAGATCTTTTTTTCTTTTTTTTTTTTTTTCTGAGATAAGGTCTTACTCTGTCACCCGGCTGGAGTGTAGTGTGGGTTCACTGCGCCTCGATTTCCTGAAGCTCAAGCAATCCTCCTGCACCTCAGCCTCCTGAGTAGCGGGGATTTACAGGCACACACACACCATGCCAGCCTAATTTGTGTAAATTGTTCCTGTAGAAACGGGGTTTGCTGTATTTGTCCAGGCTGTTCTCAAACTCCAGGGCTCAAGCGATCCTCCCATCTCGGCCTCTTAAAGTGCTGGGATTTTGGGCCTGAGCCACCACCACAGCCTGGGAGCCCAGGCCTTGAACAGAGAGAAGAACCGCCTGGGCTGGGATCTCAGACATGAATGCTCTCAGGGCAGGCATCGCAGACACAAGGACCCCTGGGCACAGATCTCAGCAGGTCAAGTGCACCTTTTTCTCCTGAGGCTAGATGGTAAATGTTTAAGCTTGCAGGCCCTGCCTTTACTCGTGCAATATTACTTCTGCCATGGTAGTAAAGCAGCATGACCATGTAAGTGAAGAGGTGAGAGTTCCTATAAAATAAGCCAAGGCAGGCTGAAATCTCAAGCAAGGACACCATGGAAACTGCATCGTAAACACAGACTAGAGTCTTGGTCTTGGGGTGCATGGACTCCAAGACCTCCAGTCTCACACAGCAAATGACAGGGCCTCAGTCTTGGGGTAAGGAGCTCTAGGGCCTGAGTCTTGGCTGTATCAGGGACCTCTGGAACCCGGGTCTAAGGAGTACATGGGATCTTTGACATCCAGACTTAGACACAGTCCACCATGGGAGGGCCTCAGTGTCAGGCGTGCGGGACTCCCAGGGGCTGAGACGTCTTGGCAGAGAGCAGCAGGCTGGGCATGGTGGCTCATGCCTGTGGCTCCCCACAGCACTCTAGGCCCAGAAGTTGCTTCAATCACTTGATGTCAGACTTGGGAGACCAGCCTGGACAACATGGTCAAACTCTGTCTCTACTAAAAATACAAAAATCAGCCAAGCATGGTGGCAGGGTACCTGTAATCCCAGCTACTCAGGAGGCAGAGTCAGGAGAATCGCAAGCCCGGGAGACAGAGAGGTTGCGTGGCGAGGTGCACCATTACTCTCCAACCTGGGTGACAGAGAGAAAGACTCTATATAAAACCCAACAAACAAAACAAAATACAGCATAACTTCTGGGACATGGGTCACAGACATGAGACTCTGGAATCTGGTCGCGCCTCTGCGGTAACCCTCAGATACCTGGCACAGACTGGGAGTGAATGTGGAGAGGGGAGCGGCCATCCTTTACAATGGAGCCTCTCAAGGTCCTCCCTCTTCACTATTTAGGCCGTCGGCAGTCATGTTTGTGCGGCCACAGGAGGCGTGCAAAGGCAGGTGGCGGGCGTGTGCGTGCCCAACTAGGCGCTCGTGCTGGATATGGGCGACCCACTACCACTCCTTCGGCGGCCGAGCGTTTGACTTCAGGGCACCTGTAACTATGTGCTGGCAACAACTGGCTGCCCGGGGGTCAACACCCAGGGCCTGACGCCCTTCACCGTCACCACCAGAAACGGGAGGCAGGGCAACCCTGCTGTGTCACGTGAGAGTCGTCACTGTGGCTGCCCTGGGCACCAGCATCTCCATCCACGAGGCGAGATCGAAAAACCAAAGTCCAGGTATGTAGAGGTCCCGGAGGACAGGAGGATCTGGCTGACCACAGTTAGCAGCTCAAGGCTCCTTGTCTTCACCTGGGCCTGAAACAAACTGTCAGCAAAAAGAATAATTCCAGCAAAAAATATCACTACTTCCTGGGAATTAGACAAGCCTTCCCAGCCCTTTTCTAGGAGCTTTAACCTGAACCTCCAGTATTTCCCTTTTTTACAGACCTGGGTTTGAATCCAGCCTCTCCTCCTTATGAGCTAGGTGATGCTGGGCAGTTCACTGGTAGGCTCAGTTTCCTCATCTGTGAAGTGGCGTCATATCCGGGAGGCCTGTCCACAGCAAGGTGGTGCATGTCACATGCTGAGGTCAGAGTCTAGTCAGGTGAACACTCGTTTGAGTGTCTGTGAAGGAGACAAGTGAAGGAGGCCCAGAGACCAGGACATGGAGAGAAATATAGGGGAGATTAGGATGAGCGACGGGGGCTCACCTGTAATCCCAGCACTTCTCTGGGAGGCCAAGGCCGGGTCGATCACCTGAGGTCAGTAGTTCAAGACCAGCCTGGCGTATGGTGAAACCCTCATCTCTACTAAAAATATAAAAATTGGCTGGAGTGTAGTGGCGCTACTGTAATCCCATGCTACTCTGGAAAACCCGAGGCAGGAGGATCAACTTTGAACCCTGGAGGCGGAGGTTGCAAGAGCCAAGATTTTGACACTGTGCTTCAGCCTGGACAGCAAGGCGAATATCCATCTCCTATATATATATATATATATATATCGAGTCAGGGTAGAGAGATGGGTATCCTTTCTGCCCAGGGGAAGTAGAGCTTAATGGTAGCTCACAGACAGACAGAGGGATGGAACAGAGTAGGCGGTGAATGAATGATGGTGAGTGAGTGGAAGAGACACAGAGAGAATGAGGAGAGGGGAAGCAGGGAAAGGGGCGAGGAGGGAGAGAGACAGAGAGAGAGAGATGACCAAGTGATAGAGACTTAGGTGAAGACAGAGGAGAGAGGGGGAACACAGAGAGACACAGAGACAGGGGAACAGGGGAGGGAGATAGAGATCAAGGGAGAAGATTAGAAAGAGTAAAGTGAGATTTCATTCCCCAAGACCTGGGCCAGAACAAATGTCCACACTGTGTCGATGGCGATCAACTATCGGAGGAAGGCCTTGGCCTCCCAGCCCCGGTAGGGCGAGAAACAGGGAGGCAGAGGGCCAGAGCTGGGGCCGTAACACCTCCAGTGACCCGTTTGGCTTCTTCCTCCTTCCCAAGGTGAAACCATTTTTGATGTGCCCCAGCAGCGTTGCCTGTCAGCGAGGGCCAGCAGGCGGATTTCAGTGACCACGGTGCATCAAGGCTGCCCATTAGCTGACTTTGGACTGCAAGTCAGCTGCTATATAAACTGGAATTGGCGGGTAGATGTGACGCTGCCCAGCAGCTATCATGGCGCAGTGTGCGGGCTCTGTGGTAACATGGACGCAACCCCATGTGACCAGGCCTTCCCTAATGGCACCCTGGCTCCTCAATCTGGGGCGGCAGCTGGCGAGTCCCAGGCTGGGACCCACTGTGTTGGGACGTATGTCCGGGAGTCACGCCAACGTGCCTGAGAGGACAAGTTGGAACAGTACGAGGAGCCCTGGCTTTCATGACCCCTGGTCCCTGGTGCAGGGGGCCTTCGCCACTGCACTGCCCCACGCTCATGTGCCACCTGAGAGCTTCTTCAAGGGCTGTGTTCTGGACGTCTGCATGGGTGGTGGGGGCCACGACATTCTTTGCAAGGCGCTGCTTCCCTGGCGGCGCATGCCAGGCCGCTGGGGTTGTCATGAGGCACAAGGCGGCCACAGGTCGGCTGCTGGTGAGTGTCGGGGGTAGCAGACAGGGTTGGGAGTCAGGTTCCCGTCTCTTCGGGGCTAGTTTGGATTTCACTCTGGAGAAGTACCTCCTAGGTCTCTTTGTTTTACTTTTCTCTCTGTTTTTGTCTCTCTCTGTCTCTTGGTGCTCGTCTCTGTGCCTCGCTTTGCTTGTCTCTGTTTGTTTCTCATTCTCTCTCCCTCAGTTTCTTCTTGGGTCTCCTGGTCTCTTGCTTTCTCCCATTTGTTTCTCTGTGTTCTCTGTCTCTGTGTCTTACATCCTCTGTCTCCCCACTTTCGGTGTCTGCTCCCTATTGTCGCCGCTGCAGCCATACCTTCCATCTATCCTGTGACCCCTAACACCCTTCTCTCTGTTTCTCTCCTTCCTGCTCCTTCATCTGCCCACAGAGATCACCTGCCCGGCAGCCACTATGAGGTCTGCGGCCCACCCTGCCCGGCCAGCTGTCCGTCCCCTGCCCTGCAACCCCAGCCGTGTCTGAGGTCCCTGTGTGGAGGCTGCCAGTGCTGACGGAGTTTCGTGCTAAGTGTTGACCGCTGTGTTCCTAAACAACGGCTATGGCTGCTGGACAGCGGCACCTACCACAGGCCCGGGCAGTGAGTTTTGGGCTGATGGCACCTGCTCCCACGGGAGTGCCGCTGCGGGCCTGGGGGTGGCTCGCTGGTCTGCACACCTGCCAGCTGTGGGCTGGGTGAAGTGTGTGGCCTCCTGCCATCCGTGCAGGCTGCCAGCCTGTAGCACAGCTGAGTGCCAGGCCTGGGGTGACCCCATTGCGTCACTCTGGATAGGCACCGGTCGACTTCCAAGGCAACTGCTGAAGGCTGCTGAGTGCACCCTGCCCGCGGACCACCCTCGGGGCTGTGAACTTCACTGTCACTGTAGCCAATGAGCACCGGGGCAGCCAGGCACATCGCTACACCCGCAGTGTCACCCTGCAAATCAACCATAGCCTGACACTGGGTCGGCCCACAGCCAGCTACAGGTGAGGCTATGGGCCAGACATGAGCGGAGTACCCAGCTCTGGGAGTTGCCTGAGATGGTAAGGGCTTCACCATTCCCCTGGGCACCTTTCACAGCTTAGCTGGGAGGGCATGATGGAAGGGTCAGAGGATGAGGTCTAGTAGCCTGATGGCTTGGCATCGCAGCTTCGCCTCTCTGGGCCTACTGTATTCCTCTGTAAACTGGTCTAAGAAAAGTACCTGTTGTAGAAAAGGATGAGAGTCAGTGACATGTGCTGCGAGGCTCTTTTTTCTTTTCTTTTTTTTTCTTTCTTGCTTTTCTTTCTCTCTTCTTTTCCTTAGCCTGTGACTCTGTTGCTCAGGCTGGAGTACATGAAAGCAAGGATTAGGGCTCACTGCAGCCTGGGCTCCTGGGTTCAATTGATCCTCCCACCTTGGCCTGCCTCCCCAGTGGCAGGACTAAAGCGCCGCCACCACGCTGGCTAATTTTTCTTTTTTTTTGGAGAGATGGGGGTCTCACTATGTTGCCCAAGCTGGTCTGAACTTCTGGCCTCAAGCCATCCTCCATCTCGGCCTTCCAAAATACTGGGATTGTAGGCTGCGCCACCAGGCTGATAAGTGCTCATTATTATTTTCAGAAGAAGTGGCATGCTCAGGGTCCCACAGCTAGTAGGTGGTGGTGCCAGGATTCAAACCCGTGTTCGCTCTGCTTATCGATCCCCAACCCCGCCCGCAGGTGGACGGCGTGTTGTGGCTCTGCCCTTCCAGCCTGGATTCGCTGCTGCACGCACACCTGGCCCGGCGCCCGGCGTGGTGGTGACCACAACCTCAGGGCTCTCGCTGACTTTTTCGATGGGGACAGCTTTGTGCGCCTGCAGTGCCGGCGGCTCTTGCCGGCGCTCTCATGGCTATGCGGGAACTGGCAGGACCCCGCCCCGGCGACCTGAAGGCTGTGGACGGGAAGCCTGCTGATGGCAGAGTGGCGCGCTCGGGCTGCGGAGAATGTGTGCCTGCCTGCCACGTGCAGTGCACCCCAGAGCAGCAGGAGTCCTTCGCTGCAGCCCCGAACGCCTGCGGCGATCTCCGCCACCGACGGCCCGCTGGCGCCACTGCCCGCCTCGTGCACTTCACTGATGCCAGGGCTGCTTGCTGGACGCCTGCCAAGTTCAGGGCCATCCTGGAGGCCTCTGTCCTGCAGTGGCCGCCTACGTGGCAGCTTGTCCAGGCCCGCTGGGGCCCAGCTAGTGGAAGTGGCCGGACTTCTGTACGTAAATGCTGCTCCATGCATGGTCCCCATAGTAGGGTCCCTCCCTGCCTTTTCCTTTCCAGGACTGTAAGACAGCAGCCCCTTCCTCCTCCATGGGGCTCAGGGGCCGCCTTCCCCTTCCTCGACTGAGTGCTCTCTGTCAGGAAACACCTTGGCTCTCACACACTGAAATGCCCCAAGTCAGGTACTGCAGTGAGAGAGATTCAGTTGAAGCAGGTATTGAGAGTCTGGCCGTGGTGGCTCACGCCTGTAATCCCAGCACTTTGGGAGGCTGAGGCAGACAGATCACCTGAGGTCAGGAAGTGAAGACTAGCCGGTCAACATGGTGATACCGTCCCTACTAAAAATACAAGAATTCATCCAGGTGTGGTGGCGGGCACCTGTAATCCCATCAGCCAGGGAGGCTGAGGCGGGAGAATCACTGGAACCCAGGAGGCAGAGGTTGCAGTGAGCCGAGATCGCCCCAGTGCACTCCAGCCTGGGTAACAGAGACTCCACCTCAAAAAAAAAAAAAAGAAACAGGAAGAAAAGAAACACCTAGTCAGAAACCCAGGGTCCAGGACACTCTTGGGGATTGGTGATCATGTTCTCAGACATCAAGGCATGTAGATTGGGATGACTGACCTGCCTCAAAATCACATAGCAGGGTACCCTTGGTTAGGAAGACCTAGTGAGTTACAGCTGGTCTGGGGGCCCTGGTCTGTTGCACACACTAAAATACACCTAGCCACACAGAATTAGTAGCCCAGTCCACCTTAACTCAAGTGGTATCTGTGATTACACTAACTGGTCAGATACACTCCAGAAAGAATCAGGATCTGACATAGCCCTGGGCAGGTCCACACAGATGCATAGTGGATAGTCAGGTGGTTCCCTTCAAGCAGGTCTCCTGGTCACAGGTATCCTGCCAACCCCTTCACCAGGCACAGCCTGAGACAGACCATGTCACAAGGACTCTGGGGAGTGCTCCAGGTCAGACACCTGGCTCTGGGTGCCCTCGGAGCAGAAGTCATACTGTGAGATGCATGTGGCCCCATACCCCAGTCACATTCACACCCTGAGATACTTATAGTCAGTTCTACACGTCTTGCATACCCCAGAATAGATGAGTGATCCATTTCACCCAGGTAATCTGGCTGACATGAAGTGAGACCCCATCTCTACAAAAATCTAATAAATCGCCGGATGTGGTGGCTCACCTGTAGTCCCAGCCAGTCGGGAGGCTGAGGCAGAGGATCGCAGGGTGGAGGTGGAGGCTGCAGCAAGCTGTGATTGGGGGCTCACTCCAGCCTGGGTGAGATAAGTGAAACCTGTCTCAAAAAAAAAAAAAAAAATCAGGCAAGCAGAGTCATTTGATCTTTAGAAATATTTAGGTCAGAGAGACCTGGGCATGTCCTCCCATTGCAAGTCCCCACACTGAGTCCCCCAGTTAGAGTCACAGATCACATGTCTACCTTACCAGGGCAGCCAGGTTGACCTGAGGTTTTCCCACTCAGGGCGCAGACCCGGCTCGAATGCCTACACTTTGTGGCTCATACCCACCTTGTCCCCCCACAGCCTTCCAGTGCCCTGCCAACAGTCACTACTCCCAGCTCTGCGCGTGGCTCCTGCCTGTGAGGCTGCCGTCCTGGCCGGGTGAGTGGCCTGCCGTGAAGGCTGTGGCTGTGCGATGCTGGATTAGACACTCTGTTGGTGACACCTGTGTACCTGTGGGCCAGTGTGGCTGCGCCTCCATGATGACCGCTACTACCCGCTGGGCAGACCTTCTACCTGGCCTGGGTGTGATTCCAGCTTGCCACTGCCAGGAGGCGGCCTGGTGTCCTGTCAACCCTCCAGCTGCGGCCACGCCACAGGCCTGCCAGCCATCCGGTGGCACACTTAGGCTGTGTGGCCGTAGGCTCTGCCACCTGCCAGGCGTCGGGGAGACCCCACCACACCTTCGATGGCCGCGCTTCGACCATAGGCACCTGCGTGCTTTGTATGTGTGTTGGCTCCAGCCTGCAGCACCCGGCCTGGCCTGCATCGGTTTGCCGTCCTGCAGGAGAACGTGGCCTGGGAGTAGTAGGCGATCAGTGTGACCCAGGGTGATCCACGGTCAGGTGAAACTTCACCCCTGCGGCTGGAGCAGAGACAGTGGAAGGTCACGGTGAGAGCAGATGGGGAGCAGGGGCGAGGCCTGTGGTAGGTAGAGGCTGAGCAGTGCTCAGCCCAGAAGTTGGGGGCACAGAGATGAGAGTGCATGTGCGAGGCCTGGGGTCCCTGAGGACAGAAAGCACCAATCAGAACCCAAGAGTGGGAAGCCAATGAGGGAGGCCATCCTCAGGGACTTGGGGAGCTGCTTCCCGATCTCTGTCCCTCAGTCTCCGCCCCTCTCTTGCCTCCATGCATTGACTTTTCTCTCCAAATCTCTCCCACCCTCTCCTCCCTCCCTCCATCCTCTCCCCACCTCAATCCTGGATTTCTGTCCTCTTACCTCACCTCCTATTCCTGCCACTCATTGGCAGGGGCGTGGTCTCCATCAGATGGACAGGGGACAATCTGTGGGTGACACTATCACCCCATCCAACAACAGCAGCTGCTATCTAGTTTCTATACAGCTGACTACGAATACTGCAACTGCCAGGCACTTCATGTCCATGGTGTCTGTATGTGTGTAACAGGAGCTGCAGGCACTATGACGTGCTTTATTTTTCAGAGTGGGGTGGCCCATCACTGGCCATAGTCCCAGCAAAGGTGGAGCTTGAACCCAGAAACATACTCGCAGAGCCTGCCACAGAAAGTCATTGTGATTTGACATCTCTCAGTTACAGTGGAGGGGTTTCCCCTGAGATCCCACTGAAACACACACATGAGCTATTTCTTTGGTAGCAGTATTGGCGAAGGTGCTGATACATTACTGACTTAATCTCGGTAGGCTGGATGAGCTGTGACTTTTTCTTGTCTTTCTTCTTTCTTTTTTTTTCTTCTTTTGAGACAAGTCTCTTTACATCACCAGGCTAGGTGCACAGTGGCGCGATCTCTGCTCACTGCCACCTCTGCCTCCTTGGTTCAAGTGATGCTGCTGCCTCAGTCTCCAGAGTAGCTGGGATCACACGTGTGCAACACTACACTCCAGCAAATTTTTGTATTTTTAGTGGAGGCGGGGTTTAGTAAAGCTGTTGGCCAGACTGGTCTCAAACTCCTGACCTCAGTGATCTGCGGCTCAGCCTCCCGAAGTGCTGGGATTAGCGGCATAAGCCACTGTGCCCAGCCGACACGCATGACTTAATTGAGTATATTGCTTAATGTTTTCCAAGCTCCTAGAATGGCCCCAAGCATACAATTACTAACCACCGCCTTGAAATTGTTGGTGTTCTTGTTAGCTGCTTCTTACTAGATCCCCCAACTTCCCTACACATGTGGGGAGCTCTTATTACCCCAGTTTACAGCTGAGGAAACTGAGGCAAGGGAATCAGTCAGTAGCCCTTTACCACTCCCAGCCCTGCTTGGGAAGTATGGCAGTTGACCATCTTTTTAGGAGACTCAGCCAGGAGCATATCTTTCTCCTGCCTTCTCCTGTGATTACCATTTCAAAAGATCCAGTGTGCACTGTCTGTGATAAGGAAGGGTGAGCAAATGTGTTAATCAGAGATTTATTTATTTATTTATATTTTTAGAGACAAGGTCTTGCTCTCTCATCCTGAGGCTGGAGTGCAGTGGTGTAATCCTAGCTCCTGTAGCCTCACGAACTCCTGAGTCTCAAGCAATCCTACCACTTCTGCCTCCTGAGTGGCTGGGACTACAGGCATGCACCACCATGCCCAGTTAATTTGTTTTATTTTGTAGAGACGGGATCTTGATATGTTGCCCAGACTGACCTTGAACTCCTGGGCTCCAGTGATCTTCCCGCCTTAGAGTCTCAAAGTGCTGGGATCATAGACACTTGAGCCACTGTGCCCCGTCCAGGGTGCATTTGCGAGGCTTTGTTGGTGCCTAGTAACTTGTAAACTGAAACCACTGGTTCTCAGCTCATAGGTTTGAGTTCATTTCCCCAGAGTGCAACTGCTTTCCACCTGCTGATGCTTTAAAGCAAAAACCTGTGGTGTCCGTTTACTCTTCAGAAGAAAAACCTCCATTCACATGGCTACTAGTGACGGCAGATGCTGCTGAAGCATGCATGCTATGCCAGCTGTTTCTCAGCACTTTAGAGACATTAATTTATCTGGGCCCAGCAGTTCTGTGGGGGAGGGGGGGCAAACACCTTATTTTCACCTGAAAGATGAGGAAAGAGAAACAGGGAGAGGTGACTCTCTTGCCCCAAGGTCACAAGAGGGTAAGGGAACTGTTTGAACATAAAACCTGCATGTTTGACTACAGATTATATTATTATTGTTTATTAATGCCTGCATCGAGTGATACATAAAGGATAGCTGGAGGCTTGTTACTTCATTGAGACATGTATTCGATTCCCGTGGCTGCCATAACGATTATCACAAATTTCTTGTGTGTCTGTGTCTTTTTCTCTCTGGATCTTATAAGGACACCTGTCATTGGATTTAGGGCCCAGCTTAATCCAGGACAATCTCATGTTGAGATTATTATCTATTACATCTGCAAGAACTTTATTCCAAGTAAGAAAGCTCACATTATGGATTCTGGGTGAATATGTCTTTTTAGGGACCACCATTCTATTGCAGTATCCACATCCTATTGTATATCCAATGTTTCATAAATACGAAACCCAGGCCTGGTGGTGAGGACACACAGATCTTCAGCATCAGGCATGGGCTTGAACTAGGGTCCGACCCCCACTCAAGATTTACTTTCTGAAGAAGAAGCCCGGCTGCCTCTCGCCTCCCAGGTGAACGGTGTGGACATGAAGCTGCCCGTGGTGCTGGCCAACGGCCAGATCCGAGCCTTTCAGCATGGTTCAGACGTTGTGATTGAGACCGACTTCGGCCTGCGTGTGGCCTACGACCTTGTGTATATATGTAGGTCACACATCCCGACTACTGCGGCACAGTGTGCGGCTGTGTGGGAACTACAGCGGCGACCCCCAGGATGACTTCCAGAGAAGCCCGCGGCTCACAGGCAGGCAACGCCAGCTGACCCGGCAACTCTGGGAGGAGGCGGTGCCCGGCTCTCCTGCCTACGCCACCACCTGCCCGCCAGGGGCGAGGGCTGTGACATCAGCAAGTGTCCTCCCGAGCCCAGGAAAAATATCCCAGAGGAGGAGTTCTGTGGGCTCCTCTCCAGCGCCACAGGGCCGCTGGCCTCCTGCCACAAGCTAGTAGATCCCCAGGGTCCCTTGCAAGATTGCGTCTTTGATCTCTGCCTGGGTGGTGGGAACCTGAGCATTCTCTGCAGCAACATCCATGCCTATGTGAGTGCTTGCCAGGCTGCTGGAGGCCCACGTGAAGCCCTGGAGGGACGAGAAACTTTCTGTAAAGTAGTGAGGGAGAGCCAGAGGGCAGGGAGGAGAGGCTGAAGCACAGAAGGGTAGACCCTGGGCCTTGCAGCCCCTCCCTCCCCAGGGCTCTGATGGGCACCCCCTCCTTGCAGCCATGAAGTGCCCGTGAGCAGCCACTATGAGCTCTGCGCGGACACCTGCTCCTGGGCTGCGTACCAGTGCCCACTCTGCAGCCTTGAATTGGGTGTGCTGAAGGCTGCCAGTGTGACGCCCGACTTCCTCTGGCGGTGAAGCCTGCGTGCCCATCCAGCAGTGCGGCTGCTACCACAATGGTGTCTACTATGAGGTAGGAACCTAGTCATTTGGGACAGAGAATATGGGGCCTCTACCTCCCACTCCTCATCAGCCCCACAGTCACTTGGCCTGCTTGGTCTCTTATTTATTCTTTTAAGTCAGGGTCTCTGTCACCCAGAGGCTGGAGTGCAGTGGTACAGTCATAGCTCACTGCAGCCCCGAGTTCACAAGCAAGCCAATCTTCCCTCATCTCCCAAGTATTTGGACTAAGGCGTGTACCACCCAAGCCCAGCGAGTTAATTTTCTTGTGGAGACATAGACATGGGGGTATCTCATTATGTTGCTCAGGCTGGTTGTCAACCCCAGGCCTCAAAGCCATACTCCGCCTTGGCCACCCAGAGTGCTGGGACTAATGGCATGAGCCACCATGCCCAACCCATTCAGCCTCTTTTTTTTTTTTTTTTTTTGGGACATAGTCTTGCTCTGTTGCCCAGGCTGGAGTGCAACCTCCGACTCTTGGGTTCAAGCTCACTGCAACACCTCGGCATCAGGTTGAAGCAATTCTCTTGTCTCAGCCTCCTGAGTAGCTAGGAGTGCAGGCGTGTGCCACCACGCCCGGCTAATTTTGTTTTTTGAAGGCTGAGATGGGGTTTTGCTATATTAGCCAGGAAGGCTGCTCTCAAATCCTGACTTCAAGTGATCCTCCTTTTACAGCTCCACAAAGTGCAAGCATTACAGACTAGTCCACTCAGTCTCTTGAATGTCTCTTATACCTACTCATTTCCCTGCCTCCCATGGCCCTCCCTTGGTCAGCTGGTCCTCTCCCACCTGGGTCCCTCTACAGGCTCCTACCTTTACTCCCTCTGGTCCACCCTCATGAAGTGGTAAGATCTTTCTAAATAGGCCTTGGACTCTGAAGCTTTAAACCCTCCCTGACTCCCAGAGTGAGGAGTTGTGGCTTTTGCCTTCCAGGTCAGGGAAAGGGAGCCTTTCTGACCACAAAGACCAGATTTTCATCTGTTATACCAGCTGCTAACACCTCTGCTTCCCTCTCCCACTCTCTCCCTGTTGGTCCTTTTTCTTTGACTGGAGCATATGTTGTCTAATGTCCCATCTCCCTTCTTGCGGGACTATGAACTCTCAGCGGGGTGGGACCCTCTCTCTGTTGTTCCCCTCGCAGTAAATAATAATAATAATAACAGAAAATATGTAGATAGTGCTTTCTATGTATCTGCCATGTGTGTTTTAGAAGTGCTACTTACTTGTGTGCATATTTTATATATACATTACATATCTGAAAACTTTATTCTGAAAATTTTCAAACAAGCATGTTTCAAAATTTCGGAAGTAAGGTCTTATTCTGAAAATTTTAAGAGAATAGTGAAATGACTGTCCATGTCTTACCCATCGCCGGCTACAGAAACTAAGGCACATTCTCCCAATCTTGTTTGATGTCTACCCCACGTCTCTCTCCTATCTGAATGTTTTAAAGGAAGCCTTTTTTTTTCTTGAGATGGAGTTTCGCTCTGTCACTTACTCAGAGAGGCTAGGTACAGTGGTGAGGTTGTTTTTGCACTCCCTACAAAGCTCCGCCTCCTGAAGTTCATCCATTTTCTCTACCTCAGCTTCAGTAGCTGCTGAGGACTACAGGCGAGCCAGCCACCACACCTAGCTAATTTTTGTGTTTTTAATAGAGATGGGGTTTCCGTGTTAGCCAGGATGGTCTCCCAATCTTCTGAGCTCGTGATCCACCCGCCTTGGCCTCCTGGATGCTGGGATTACAAGCATGAGCCACCACGTCCGGCCTACCCTTTTCATTTTATCTGAATTTTACATTTTATCCTGAATTTTAGCGCTTCATAGGCAGGCGCTACTATTTTCTGCAATTTGCATCAGGAAACTGAGCCATAAAGAGGTGAAATAACTTTTGCTCATAGTCACAGAATTTGGAAACAGCAGAAACTGACTTCAAGCCAGAAGCGATCTGCCCTTAGTTACTATGCAGCATACACCATTTCTCCTACAGCAGAGATTAGTGGCGGATATTTTTGGAATGAATGAGTAAATGAATAAAAGTGAATGAACAAATGTACAAATGAATGGCGGCCCCAAACCATGCTGTGCCTCAGCTTCTACAGACAGGGAGCCATCCTGCTGAGAGATGTCCCTTGTCTGTGATGTCCTCAAACCCCTCTGTGCCCAGAATGCCAGAGATGTGAGAGTCGGCTCCCACCCAGCGTGGTATGATGGCCGTGCCCTCTCTCCCCCACGGCGGAGCAGACAGTCCTCATTGGCCTGACTGTCGGCAGCAGTGTACGTGCCATGAGTAAAGGCGTGTTGTGCCAGGAACACAGCTGCCAGCCGGGGCAGGTGTGCCAGCCCTCCGGAGCGTCCTGAGATATACCAAAGGTGCTGGGCTGGGCTGGGACTGGGGCTGATGTGACTATGGATGGAGTACAGGGACTCTGGGGCCGAGGGTGATGTGACTGCGGTGTCCATGGCGGGAGGTGCACAGGACTAATGATGGAGGTTGCAGACCTGGAGACCCCTGGGCTGGGTTTCACAGGGCAGGGCCTCTGCCAGAGCAGCAGGGACCCTTAGGGAAAATCCAGGCTGTGGGGACCCTCAGAGGTTTCTCAGGGTTGATGTCAGAGACCCTCGGTATAAGGCAGGGACAGGCGCACCTTTGCTGATATGGGCTACATGGTAAAATGTTTCAGCTTGCAGGCTGTATGGTCTCGTTTCAACTGCTCACTCTGCCACTGTGGCATGAAAAAGCAGCTGTAGACTATGCCTGGCGTGAGGCTGCTATAAGACTTTAGAATACAAAACTTAGCAACCTAGGGGAGCCGCATGGTGAGCTGACCGCTGGTGCGTGGAATGAGCTTGGGGTTCAGACACTGGCACCAGGCAGGGGAGAGACTGGGATCCCCGGGACAGGGACAGAGCAGAGTTCTGAGTCTCAGGCACAGAGACCCCACCAAGGCAGAACATTGGATATGGGGACCTCTCAAGTAGAGGGAGATCAGGATTTCTGGGGAGTATAGTCTCCGATGTGGGAACCCCCAGACTAAATCTGGGACACAGAGCCACCCAGGGGGCTCATTTCTTAGGACGACGAGCAGAGAACCCTCCTCCCCACATGGATACGAGAATAGGAGCTCCAGCACCAAAGCTTAGGCTAAGACTCTCAGCGTGATGAGCAGGACAATGGGACTCCCAGGAATGGGGAGTATATCACTCCAGCATCCAGTGGAGAGACAGAAAGCACCCAGCCATTTGAATGAAAGTTCAATTAAAGAAATCATTTACTTATTAATAGGAGATTAACTATTAAAGAGGCAAAGAGGGGCCTGGTGCGGTGGCTCACACACCCAGCACGTTGGGAAGATAAACGAGGCCATAAGTTTCACAGATTCAGCCTGAGCAACATAGCCGAATACAAATCTCCCACAAAAAATTCCATGATGGAGCAGAAGAAGTGGCTGGTGCTCATGCCTGTGGTCCCCAGCTGTTGGGAGGCTGAGTTGGGAGGATCACTTGAGCCCAGGAGTTCGAGGCTCGTGAGCTATGATTGTACCACTGCCCTCCATCCTGGGCAAGGCAGCAAGACCTTGTCTCTTTCACAAACAAACAAACAAATCAAATAGAAATAGAAAGCGAGTAAAGAGCACTAAAGAATACCACCAAAGCAGAAAGAGGAAGTAGCCCCCACTTCTAGGGCTAAAGGTAAGAGCCTCATGGAAGGGAGAAATTGGCCCCTCTTCTTCAAGGAGGAGAAATTGGCCCCTCTCTACTCTTCAAGGAGGGGACAATCAGCTAGGCCAGGAGTGTCGTGCACAGCTGTAGCACACTGGGTGGCACAGAGGTTTTTCTGCCATTTTGAGGTCAAGCAGAAGGAAACCCTCACTGGGAAGCCAGCTGGGACCATTGGAACTCTCACTGTGGCCACCACAACCTGGCCAGAGCTGGAAGAGGCCAAACCAGCTGGAAGCCCAGACCAGGAGCCCCTCCCTGCTGGGCGAGCTCTCCCGGCGCCCTCTGTGACAAAACGCTCCATGATTTGTATCTGAAGCTGAGGGCGGGTACATTGGTAGCAGGCACAGGAGGGAAACATTGAACTGGCCTCTCCCACACAGGGATTCCACAAGCTGGGTCTCAGATGTAGTAACTGTAGGAACAGGGTCCTGGACACAGAAGCCCTCCAGGACAGGGCCTCAGCAGTGAGACACCCTCAAGGCTACTGGCTTGAATATAGCAACCCTCCGGGATGGAGTTTCTGCGCTGAGGAGGCCCAGGCCATGAGACTTCACTAGTTAGGGCCTCAAACGTTTCAAATCATGCTGAGACCCCTGGCACTGAGCTCTTGCCAGAGAGATCTTGGGAGCCTAGTCACAGGGCACAGAGGCCTCAGGCTAAGAGAAATTGGAGACAATTTGTTATCAAGTGTGGAGGCCGTCAGAGGGCTGAGGTCTCAGGCATGGGAGGCGACCCTGAGGCCTAGATCTTTTTTTTTTTTTTTTTTTCCTGAGATAAGGTCTTACTCTGTCACCCAGGCTGGAGTGTAGAGTGTAGTGTAGGTTACTGCGCCTCGATTTCCTGGGCTCAAACAATCCTCCTGCCTCAGCCTCCTGAGTAGTGGGGGACTACAGGCACACACCACCATGCCAGCCTAATTTATTAATTGTTCTGTAGAAATAGGTCTTGCTATGTTGTCCAGGCTGTTCTCAAACTCCAGGAGCTCAAGCGATCACCCACATCTGGCCTCCTAACGTGCTGGGACCAGACCTATAGGCCACACACACACTGGCTTGGGGCCCAGGCCTTAGCCACAGAGAACCCTTGGGCTGGGATCTCCAGACATGAAGAATGCTCTCCAGGGCAGGCATCGCAGACACAAGGACCCCTGGGGCACAGATCTCAACTTGGGTCAAGTGCACCTTTTCTCTAAAGGGCTAGATTGTAAATGTTTAAGCTTGCAGGCTATGCCTTCTCGATCACAGCTACTCACTCCTGCCATGGTGGCGTGAAGCGCCGTAGACTATGCTAAGTAGAGAGGTGAGGTTCCTATAAAACTTAAAATACAGAACAGGCTGAAATCTCAACAAGGACACCATGGAAACTGTGGCCAAACACAGACCTGAGTCTTGGTCTTGAGTGCATGGACTCCCACAACCTCAGTTTCACACAACAAGCTGAAGCGGGGCCTCAGTCTTGGGGTAGGGGACTCTGGGGCCTGGGTCTTGGCTGTCAGGGACCTCTGGGACCCGGGTCTCAGGTATGGAATCTTTGACACCTGACACTTAGACACAGTCCACCATGGGGCCTCAGTGTCAGATGTGCGGGACTCCCAGGGGCTGGTCTTGAAAACAGCAGGCTGGGCATGGTGGCTCATGCCTGTAATCCCAGCACTCTGGGAGGCCAAGGTTGGCTGATCCTTGATGTCCAGGGAGCTTGAGACCAGCCTGGACAACATGGTCAAACTCTGTCTCTACTAAAAATACAAAAATCAGCCAAGCATGGTGGCGGAGCTTCCTAAATCAGCTACTCGGGAGGCTGAGTCAAGGGAGAAATCACTTGAACCCGAGAGACAGAGGTTGCAGTAAGCCGAGATTGCACCATTACTCTCCAGCCTGGGTGACAGAGAAAGACTCCATCTCAAAAAACCAACAAAACAAAACAAAATACAACGCAAACTAGGACCTGGGTCCTAGACATGAGACTGCTTGGAATCTGGTCTTGCCTGTGGTAACCCTCAGATCCTGGCACAGACTGGGAGCAGGGTATGGAGGAGGCGGCCATCCTTTTTACAATGGGCAGCCTCTCAAGGTCCTCCCTCTTCTGTCCCCAGGCTTCCCGTGCGGCCGGTGTGACAGCCCGGCCACAGGAGACGTGCAAGGAGCAGGGTGGCCAGGGCGTGTGCGTGCCCAACTATGAGGCTACGTGCGCTGTGGGGCGACCCACACTACCACTCCTTGACGGCCGACGTTTGACTTCAGGGCACCTGTAACTATGTGCTGGCAACAACTGGCTGCACAGAGTGCTTACACCCAGGGCCTGGCCGCGCCACCGTCACCACCAGAACGAGGGCAGGGCAACCCTGCTGTGTCCGTAGAGAGTCGTCCTGTGGCTGCCCTCGGCTTTCCAACATCTCCATCCATAAGGCGAGATCGGCAAGTCCAGGTCATGTGTGGCAGGAGGGTCCCTGGGGGTCCCGGGAGGACAGGAGGATCACAGACCACAGTTAGCAACTCAAGGCTCTAACTGTCTTCACCTGGGCCTGTAACAAAATGTTAACAAAAAGAAATAATTCCCAGCAAAAATATCACCCGTTCCTGAAATTAAGCAAGCCTAGCCCTTTTCTAAGGGCTTTGCTAAGTTCGGCATTTGCCTTTTTACAGACCTGGGTTTGAATCCAGCCTCTCCTCCTTATGAGCTAGGTGATGCTGGGCAGTTCACTGGTAGGCCTCAGTTTCCTCACATCACCTGTGAAGTGGGCGTCATATCAGGCCTGTCCACAGCAAGGTGGTGCATGTATCATGCTGGTCTCTCAGTCTAGTCCAGGTAGACACTCGTTTGGAGAAAGTGTCTGTGAGAACAAGTGAGAAGCCCAGAGAGACCAGGACATGGAGAGAAATATAGGGAGATTGAAATGGGCACGGGGCTCACTGCCTGTAATCCCAGCACTCCTGGGGAGACCAAGGCGAATTGATGCACCTGAGAATTAGTAGCAGTTCAAGACCAGCCTGGCCAATATGGGTGACCTCATCTCTACTAAAAATACATAATTGGCTGGATGGTGGTGCTATAATCCCAGCTGCTCTGGGCCGAGCAGGAGAATCACTTGGAACCTGGGAGGCGGAGGTTACAAGAGCAAGATTTTGACACTGTACTTAGCCACCAGAGCGACAGAGCGAATATCCATGTCAAAATATACTCTCTCTCATAGTGAGTCAGGGGTAGAAGTGGAGGAGGCTTGTATTCCCTTTTTGGGAAATGGAGATAGGCTTAATGGTAGCTCACGACAGACAGAGGATGGAACAGAGTAGGCGGTGAATGAATGATGGTGAGTGCGTGGAAGAGACACACACAGAAATGAAGGAAGGAGGGAGGAAGGGAAGGAGGGAGAGACAGGCAAATAGAGAGAGAGAGGCGACCACGTGCAGTGAAGACTTAGGTGAAGACAGAAGGGAAGACAGAGACAGAGACGGGGAGAGATAGAGATCAAGGGAGAAGATTAAGAAGAGTAAAGTCAGGTTTCATTCCCGAAGACCTGGGCCAGAAAAAAATGTCCACACTGTGTCGATGATGACCAACTATCAAGAGAAGACGGCAGCATCTATTTGACCAAGGTAAAGAAGAAAAGAAGGAGGCAGAGGGCCAGAGCTGGGGCCGTAGCTTGCCTCCAGCCATTGACTATGTTGGACTTCTTCCTCCTTCCCAAGGTGAGCAGTGCTGCTGACAGCGTTGCCTGTCGAGGCCAGGCGGATTTGAAGTGACCACGAAGTGCATCCAAGAGCTTACTGGTGGCTGACTTTGGACTGCAAGTCAGCTATGACTGGAGGTGGCGGGTAGTGCAGCGCTGCCGCAGCTATCATGGCGCAGTGTCTGCGGGCTCTGTAGTAACATGGACCGCCTTCAGCAATGGCCAGGCCTTCCCTATTGGCACCTGGCTCCCCTCCACCCATCTGGGGCGGCAGCTGGCGGCGGAGTCCCAGGCTGGGACCTGTGTTGGGGGCGTGTCCGGTCCTGCGTGCCCTGAGGACAAGTTGGAACGATACGAGGCCCTGGCTGGATGGCCCTGGTCCCTGGCAGGGGCCTGCGCCACCTGCCATGCTCATGCCACCTGAGAGGAGGCTTCTTCAAGGGCTGTGTTGTTCTGGACGTCTGTATGGGTGGTGGAGCCCGACATTTCTTTGCAAGGCGCTGGCCACCTGCGTGGCCGCCTGCCAGGCCGCCGGGTTGTCATCGGGCTGGCGGCCACAGGTCGGCTGTGGTAGTGTCGGGAAGGTAGCAGAGGCGGGGCTGGGGTCACGTTCCCTCTCTTGAGAGTGATTTGGTTTCACTTTGGTCCTCCTGGGTCTCTTTGTTTGCTTTTCTCTGTCTCTCTATCTCTTGGTGCTCGTCTCTGTGCTTCGCTTTGCTTGCTCTGTTGTTTCTCGGTCTCTCTCCCTCAGTTTCTTCTTGGGTCTCCTGGTCTCTTGCTTTCTCCCATTTGTTTCTCTGTGTTCTCTGTTCTCTGTGTGTCTCGTCCTCTGTCTCCCCCTTTCTGTCTGCTCCTGTTGTCGCTCTCTGTCTCCTCCCACCTGTCCTGCTGTGACCCCACCCTAACACCCTTCTCTCCGTTTCTCTCCTTCCTGCTCCTTCATCTGCCCACAGAGATCACCTGCCCAGAAAACAGCCACTATGAGGTCTGCGGCCCACCCTGCCCGGCCAGCTGTCCATCCCCTGCACCCCCTGCGACCCCAGCCGTATGCGAGGGTCACACATGTGTGTGGGAGGAGCTGCTAGTCTTGACAGCGGAGTTTGGAGTGCTGAGAGTGCCCGACCGCTGTGTTCCCTAAACAACGGCTGCGGCTGCTGGACGCGGCACCTACACGAGGCGGGCAGTGAGTTTGGGCTGATGGCACCTGCTCCCACAGGTGCCGCTGGGCCTGGGGTGGCTAGCTGGTCTGCCAACACCTGCCAGCGTGCCAGGCTGGTGAAGTGTGCAGCCTCCTGCCATCCGGCCAGCACGGCTGCCAGCCCATCAGCACAGCTGAGTGCCAGCCTGGGAGGTGACCCCCATTACGTCACTCTGGATGGGCACGATTCGACTTCAAGGCAACTGCAGTACTGCTGAGTGCACCCTGCCACGGACCACCCTCCACGGGACTGTAGAGACTTCACTGTCACTGTAGCCAATGAGCACCGGGGCAGCCAGGCTGTCAGCTACACCCGCAGTGTCACCCTGCAAATCTACAACCATAGCCTGACACTGAGTGCCCGCTGGCCCCGGCAGCTACAGGTGAGGAGGAGCTGTGGGCACACAGGAGCCCGGGTGCCAGCTCTGGGGTTGCCTGGGATGGTAAGAGCCACCATTCCCCTGGGCACCTTTCTGAAACTTAGCTGGGGCATGATGGAAGGGTCAGAGGATAGGTCTGGGAGCCTGATGGCTTGGCATCGCAGCTTCTTCCTCTCTGAGCCTACTGTATTCCTCTATAAACTGAGTCACAAGAAAAGTACCTGTTACATAGAAAGGATGAGAGTCAGTGACATGTGCCCTATAGAGGCTCTTTTTTTTTTTCTTTTTTTTTCTTTCTTGCTTTTCTTTCTCTCTTCTTTTTTTCTTAGCCTGACTCTGTTGCCCAGGCTGGAGTGCAGTGACAGGATTAGGGCTCACTGCAGCCTGGAACTCCTGGGTTCAATCGATCCTCCACACCTTGCTGCCTCCCGAGTGGCTGGGACTAAAGGCGCCACCACCACCACGCTGGCTAATTTTTTCTTTTTTTGGAAGGAGATGGGGGTCTCACTATGTTGCCCAAGCTGGTCTGAACTTCTGGCCTCAAGTCATCCTCCCATCTCGGCCTTCCAAAGTACTGGGATTGTAGGCTGCGCCACCAGGCCCGGCCTATAGATGCTCATTAATATACTGGGAGAGTGGCATATGGGGTCCCACAGCTAGTAGGTGGTGGGGCCAGGATTCAAACCCGTGTTCGCTCTGCTTATCGATCCCCCAACCCCCGCCCGCAGGTGGACGGCGTGTTAGTGGCTCTGCCCTTCCAGCTGATTCTAGCTGCTGCACGCACACCTGAGCGGCGCCGACGTGGTGGTGACTACAAACCTCAGGGCTCTCGCTGACTTTCGATGGGGACAACCGTGCGCCTGCGCGTGCCGGCGGCGTACGCCCGGGCGCTCTCTGTGGCTTATGCGGGAACTACAACCCGGGACCCCGCCGACGACCTGAGAGCTGTGGACGGGAAGCCTGCTGGATGGCAGGTGGGCGGCACTTGGCTGCGGAGAATGTGTGTCTGGGCCATGCCCGTCGCAGTGCACCCCAGAGCAGCAGGAGTGCTGCCGGCCCGGACGCCTGGCGTGATCTCCGCCACCCGACAGCCCGCTGGCGCCTGCCTGCCTCGTGCCGCCCGCGCAGTACTTCCAGGGCTGCTTGCTGGACGCCTGCCAAGTTCAGGGCCATCCTGGAGGCCTCTGTCCTGCAGTAACCGCCTATGTAACAGCTTGTCAGGCGCTGGGAATGGCTGGCCCGAGTGGAGCGCGGACTTCTGTGGTGAGTACTGCTCCATGCATGGTCCGCATAGCAGGGTCTCTCCCTGCCCTTCCTTTCCAGGACTGTAAGACAGCAGCCCCTTCCTCCTCCATGGGGCTCAGGGGCCACCTTCCTTCCTCTGAGCTAGGTATCTCTGTCAGGAAACACCTTCAGCTCTCACCCTGAAATGCCCCAAGTCAGGTACTGCAGTGAGAGAGAGTCAGAAACAGGTATTGAGAGTCTGGCCGCGGTGGCTCATGTCTGTAATCCCAGCACTTTGGGAGGCCCAGGCAGGCAGATCACCTGAGGTCAGGAAGTCGAGACTAGCCCGGTCAACATGGTGATACTGGCCGGGCGCGGTGGCTCAAGCCTGTAATCCCAGCACTTTGGGAGGCCGAGGCAGGCGGATCACGAGGTCAGGAGATCGAGACCATCCTGGCAGAGCCACGGTGAAACCCACGTCTCTACTAAAAATACAAACTAGCCAGGCGGCGGCGACTGTAGTCCCAGCTACTCGGGAGGCTGAGACCTTGGGGAGAATGGCGAGAACCGGGAGGCGGAGGCACGGCAGTGAGCTGCGATCCGGCCACTGCACACCTCCAGCCTGGCGAGCAGAGGCGAGACTCGTCTCAAAAAAAAAAAAAAAAAAAAAAAAAAAAAAACAGCAACAACAAAAAAAACATGGTGATACCCCTGTCCCTACTAAAAAAATACAAAATTCATCCCAGGTGTGGTGGCGGGCACCGGTAATCCAGCCAGCCTGGGAGGCTGAGACAGGGAGAATCCACTTGAACCCAGGAGACAGGGTTGCAGTGAGCCAAGATAGGCACCTCCAGCTACATGCAACAGAGTGAGACTTCAGATCAAAAAAAAAAAAAAAAGAAAAAGAAAAAAGAAAGAAAGAAAAAAAGAAAAAGAAGCACTGAGTAAAGCAGAGATTCCAGGATGCACTCTTGGGGATTGGTGATCCATGTTCTACAGAACTTTGTCAAGGCATGTAGATTGGGATGACTGACCCTGCCTCACTCATAGCAGGGTACCCTTGGTTAGGAAGACCTAGTGAGTTACAGCTGGTCACAGGGCCCTGGTCTGTGCACACACTGAGAAATACACCTAGTCATATAGAATTAGTACAGCATGCCTTCAGTGGTATCTATAGTTTACACACTGGGACTAACTGGTTAGATATACTCCAGATAGAATCAGGACCCTTGCATTTTGCCTGGGCAGATCCACACAGATGCACTGGTTGGGTAGTCCCTGGCGGTTCCCTTCAAGGCAGTCTCCTGGTCGGTATCCTGCCAACTTCCCCCTGAGCACAGCCTGAGACAGACCATGTCACAGGACTCTGGGAGATGCTCCAGGTCAGACACCCACAGCCAGGTGCCCAGCAGAAGCTGAAGTCATGCCTGAGATACATGTGGCCTTCCCCAGTCACATTCACACCCTGGGAATGCCATGGAAAATGTCCAGTTCTGATCTTGCATGTCGAATAGCAGATAATAGATGATCCCATTTCACCCAGAGAGTAATCCTGGCTGACATAGTGAACTATCTCTACAAAAGCTTCAATAGTGCTTAGATGTGGTGGCTCGCCTATAGTCCCAGATACTGCAGGACTCGGCTGTATCCCAGGAGAGCTGAGGCAGGATGATTGCCGAGCCAGGAGGTGGAGGCTCCGTGGCGTGCCTCTGCACTCCAGCACAGTGAGATAGAGTGAGACCCTACTTATAAAATAATAATAATAATAACAGAAATAAAAATCAGGCAAGCAGTCATTTGATGTTTCAGAAATTCTTGGTCAGGCTAACACATAACCTGGTCAGGGCCTGGGCATGTCTCCATTTCAGGTCATGCCACAGAGACCCCCAGTTAGATGTCCTGGATCACATGTGCACCCGGAGACACCCAAATTTGGCTTGAGCAGTTAGTCAGTTCTGATCTTGCATATCCCGAATAGATAATAGTGATCCATTTCACCCAGGTAATCCTGGCTGACATAGTGAGACCCCATCTCTACAAAAAACTACCAATGAATTAGCCAGATGTGGTGGCTCAAGCCTATAGTCCCAGATACTCGGGACTGTATCTGGGAGGCTGAGGCAGGATGATTGCTTGAGCCCAGGAGGTGGAGGCTGCCGTAAGCGTGCCTCTGCACTCCAGCCTGAGTGAGATAGAGTGAGACCCTGTCGCAAAATAATAATAATAATAATAAATAACAGAAATAAAAATCAGGCAAGCAGAGTCATTTGATCTTTAGAAATTCTTGGTCAGGCTAACACATAACCTGGTCAGAGAGACCTGGGCATGTCCCCTCCCATTTCAGGTCCCATGCTGAGACCCCCAGTTAGATGTCCTGGATCACATGTGCATACCCGGAGACACCCAAGTTGACATGAGCAGTTTTCCCACTCAGGGCCTCCCTGACTCATGCCCACCTTGTCCCCACAGCCTTCCAGTGCCCTGCCCACAGCCACTACGAGCTCTGCGGTGACTCCTGCCCCGTGAGCTGCCCGAGCCTCTCAGCACCCGAGGGCTGTGAGTCGGCCTGCCGTGAAGGCTGTGTCTGCGATGCTGGCTTTGTGCTCAGTGGTGACACCTGTGTACCTGTGGGCCAGTGTGGCTGCCTGTATGACGGCCGATACTACCCGCTGGGTGAGGCCTTCTACCCAGGCCCTGAGTGTGAGCGGCGCTGTGAGTGTGGGCCAGGTGGCCATGTCACCTGCCAGGAGGGCGCGGCCTGTGGGCCCCATGAGGAGTGCCGGTTAGAGGATGGTGTCCGGGCCTGTCATGCCACAGGCTGTGGCCGCTGCCTGGCCAATGGGGGCATCCACTACGTCACCCTTGACGGCCGTGTCTTCGACCTGCATGGCTCCTGCTCCTATGTCTTGGCCCAAGTCTGCCAGCCGAAGCCTGGGGATGAGGACTTTTCCATCGTGCTTGAAAAGAACGCAGCTGGAGATCCCCAGCGCCTCCTGGTTACTGTGTCTGGCCAGGTTGTCAGCCTAGCTCAGGGGCAGCAGGTGAGTCCATGGGAGCCTGCCCTGGGGGTCTGAAGGCAACACAGCCCCATCTAGGGGGTTCTGAAGGACACATGACCCCACCCTGTAGGTATGAGAGGGACATTCCTCCAACCTGGGAACTCTGAGCCTACCCTGGAAGGTCTGGTGAATGGTCCCACCCAGGGAGATTTTTGTTTGGTTTTGTGACAGGGTCTTGTTCTGTCACCCAGGCTGGAGTGTATTGGCATGATCACAGCTCACTGCAGGCTCAACCTGCTGGGCTCAAGCGATCCCCCCACCTCAGCCCCCCATGCCTAGCTAATTTGTTTGGTAGAGATGAGGTCTTGCTGTGATGGCCAGGCTGGTCTCGAACTCCTGGGCTCAAGTGATCCACCTGTCTTGGCCTCCCAGAGTGTTGGGATTACAGGTGTGAGTCACCACGCAAGGCCTGGGGCCCAAGAAGTTTAAGGGAAACATGACCTGACGTTAATGGGACTGAGGGAGATGCAGCTCTGCCCTGGGAGTGGGACAGGACAGCCTTGCCTGTGGTTCTGTGAGTTCCTGACCTACCTGACCCTTCCACCCAGGTCACCGTGGACGGCGAGGCTGTGGCCCTGCCTGTGGCTGTGGGCCGTGTGCGGGTGACCGCCGAAGGCCGAAACATGGTTCTGCAGACGACCAAGGGGCTGCGGCTTCTCTTTGATGGCGATGCCCAAGTCCTCATGTCCATCCCCAGCTCCTTCCGTGGAAGGCTCTGTGGCCTCTGTGGGAACTTCAATGGCAACTGGAGTGATGACTTTGTCCTGCCCAATGGCTTGGCAGCGTCCAGTGTGGAGACCTTCGGGGCTGCATGGCGGGCGCCCGGCTCTTCCAAGGGCTGTGGCGAGGGCTGCGGGCCCCAAGGCTGCCCCGTGTGCTCGGCAGAGGAGACTGCACCCTATGAGAGCAACAAGGCCTGCGGGCAGCTCCGGAACCCCCAGGGACCCTTCGCGACCTGCCAGGCTGTGCTGAGTCCCTCTGAGTACTTCCGCCAATGCGTATACGACCTGTGCGCGCAAAAGGGCGACACAGCCTTCCTGTGCCGCAGCCTGGCAGCCTATACGGCGGCCTGTCAGGCAGCCGGCGTGGCCGTGAAGCCCTGGAGGACAGAGAGCTTCTGCCGTGAGTGTCCGTGGGTCCCTCAGAGAACTCTAGACCAGATGTAGGGCCCCTCCTGGCCCTTTCCTTCTATTCCCATGTGGAAGTGGTTTCTCCCCACCCCCTCCCACCCCACGCCCACATACCTCCTTCTCCCACGGCGTAGTCCACTGGCTTCCCTGCTACCCCTCTGACTGTTCCTTCTCAGCCTCCTGTCTGGGCCCCCTCTCCTCAAACCTCAAGTTCACTTCTTCCCTAGTGCTCTATTCTGGACTCTTTCTGCAGGGACCTGAAAGGGATAGTTGGATGGGTTGGGAGATCTATGGCTCACACAGACCCTCCTTCTACCCCCTGACAACATCATATCCCCTCAGATCCCCCCAAGACAAGGTTGCAGCCTAGTAGACACCCCCCTAAACTAGGACTGTACCTCTCATTCAAATCCCCAGGGGAGGGACATCACCTGAGACTCTCAGGACAAAGCCATGGCCCCTCTGGCCCCAGGTCAGAGCCAGGTCTCCCCCGGGCAGGACCTATACCCAGGGCCGTCGTCCACACCCGCAGCCTTAGATTTGTTCTCAGTGTTGACTGTGGACCTGGTCTGTCTGTCTCAAGCCCTGAACCCTCTCCTGACTGTCAGTCCAGTGATCCTAATTTCCAGCTTCTGGACTTTAAAACTGTGGGAGAATGAATTTCTCCTGTTTAAGCTACCAAGTCTGAGGTAATTGTGAGGGTGTCCAGGACATCTTCTCCTGGGTGTCCTTAGAGTTCCTCTCACCTGATGTGTTCCCAAATAAAATCAGCATATCACCCCCAGCCTGATGCTCCTTCCCCAATCCCGGTGGGCACTGCAGAACAGCCATACCATCCACCAATTGCTTAGCCAGAGACCAAGGACTTACCATAGATATTTCCCTTGGGTCCGTACAGCCTCTGTCCCAACCCTGACCCGTCTGCCTGTACCCCCCCATCCCAGCCCTGACCCCTCTGCCTGTGCCCCCCTACCCTGGCCCTCAACCCTCTGCCTGTTCCCCCCGCCCCGACCCGGCCCTGACCCCTCTACCTGTGCCCCCCCACCCTGGTCCCAACCCCTGTGCCTATGCCCCCAACCCTGGTCCTGACCCCTCTGGCTGTGCCCCCTACCCTGGCCCTCAATCCTCTGTCTGTGCCCTCCCCATCCTGGCCCTGACTCTTCTGCCTGTAGCCCCCCACCCTGGCGCTGACCCCTCTGTCTGTGCCCCCCAATGCCTGCCCTGATCCCTCTGCCTGTGCCCCCCCTGCCCTGACCTCTCTGCCTGTGCCCCCTTATCCCTGCCCTGACCCCTCTGCCTGTGCCCCCTTATCCCTGTCCTGACCTCTCTGCCTGCGCCTCCCCATCCCTGCCCTGACCCCTCTGTCTATACTCCCTGAGGCAGCATGTTCACTTTTGGCTGTTCCTGTCTGTCCCACTGAACGTGAGCTCTGTAGGACTGGGGTTGAGGTTTTTCTCAATACTTGTGTCTTCAGTGCTACCTAAAACAGGGCTGGGTGTGCAGTAGGCCCCATTGGTTATCCAGGACCCTTTGGAGGTGTGACACGGCCCTGCCTCCTCTTTCTGCAGCGCTCCAGTGCCCCGCCCACAGCCACTACTCCATCTGCACACACACCTGCCAGGGCTCCTGTGCGGCTCTCTCTGGCCTCACGGGCTGCACCACCCGCTGTTTTGAGGGCTGTGAGTGTGACGACCGCTTCCTGCTTTCCCAGGGTGTCTGCATCCCTGTCCAAGATTGTGGCTGCACCCATAATGGCCGATACTTGCCGGTGAGTAGGGGCTTGGGGTGGGCAGAGAGGGTAGAAGGGCTTGAGAGAGACCCAGAGCTTCCGTGCTGACCTCTTCAAGGCTGGGAACAGAGGAGCCACTGCCATCTCCCAGCTGTGTGACTTGATGCAGGCAACCTCCCCGTATTAGTTTCGTGTAGCTTCTGTAACTAATTACCGCAGACGTGGCAGCTTAAACAGGAGAAATTCATTCTCCCACAGTTCCAAAGGCCAAAAGTCAGAAATCAGGATCACTGGACTGACATCAAGGTGTTGGCAAGGTGGTACTCCCTGCAGAGAAATCTAGGGGAGGCCATGCCCAGTGGCTCACACTTGCAGTCCCAGCCCTTTGGGAGGCCAAGGCGGGAGGATCACTTGAGCCCAGGAATTCAAAACCAGCTTGGGCAACAAAATGAGACCCCCATCTCTACAATTTTTTTTTTTTTTTTTTAATTAGCTGGGCATGGTGGTGCACACCTTTAGTCCCAGCTACTCAAGAGGCTGAGGTGGGACAATTGCATGAGCCCAGGAGTTGGAGGCTGCAGTGAGTCATGATCACACTGCTGCACTCCAGCCTGGATGACAGAGCAAGACCTTATCTCTAAAGTAAAAAGGAAAAGAACCGGGCGCGGTGGCTCACGCCTGTAATCCCAACACTTTGGGAGGCCGAGGCAGGTGGATCACGAGGTCAGAAGTTCAAGACCAGCCTGACCAACATGGCGAAACCCTGTCTGTATTAAAAATACAAAAATTAGCTGGGCGTGGTGGTGCGTGCCTGTAATCCCAGCTACTCGGGAGGCTGAGGCAGGAGAATCACTTGAACCCAGGAGGCGGAGGTGGCAGTAAGCCGAGATCATGCCACTGCGCTCCAGCCTGGGCAACAGACCAAGACTCCATGTCCAAAAAAAAAAAAAAAAAGAGAGACAAAAGAAATCTAGGGGAAAATCTGTTCCTTGCCTCTTCCAGTTGCTGGTTGCTGCAGGTTTTCCTTGGTTGTGGCCACATCACGCCAACCTCTGCCTCTTCTGAGTGTGTCATAACATCTCCCTCTGCTTCCCTCTTATAAGGATACACGTGATTGCATTTAAGGCTCACTCAGATAATCCAGGAGAAATTTTCCATCTTAACATCCTTAATTCAATCACATCTGCAAACACCCTTTTCCCATATAAGGTAACACTTACTCATTACAGGGATTAGGACCTGATATCTTGGGGCAGGGGCATCATTTGGCCCCTCCTTGAACTTCATTTTCTTCCCCTGCAAAATGGGGCTAATCACCATCTTTGTACCATAGGTGTCTGAGGATGAGGCACGATTATGCAGGAAAGATACCCACTGAGCACTGGGCCTTGCCCTGCATGTTCATCACACTCAGTAAAAAGAAAGAGCAGTTTACAGCGTGGTGCAGTGGCTCACGCCTGTAATCCCAGCACTTTAGGAGGCCGAGGGGTGGGGCAGATCAAAAGGTCAGGAGTTCGAGACCAGCCTGACCAATATGGTGAAACCCCATCTCTACTAAAAATACAAAAATTAGCTGGGCATTGTGGCGGGTGCCTGTAGTCCTAGCTACTCGGGAGGCTGAGGCAGGAGAATCGCTTGAACCTGGGAGGCGGAAGTTGCAGTGAGCTGAGATTGCACCACTTCATTCTAGCGTGAGCAACAGACTGAGACTCCATGTCAAAAAGAAAAAAAAAGCAAAAAAAAGAAATAGCAGTTTACAACAGTGCAAATAGGTAGCCCAGCTAATAATTGTTCAATAATATGAATTAATTGAAGAACTGATTTATTCTTGTTAATGATTTTTTTGAGCTCTTACTATGCACCATGTTTGTTATAGGTGTTATTTTTTTTGTTTGTTTATTGAGATAGGATCACACTCCGCCTCCCAAGCAGAAATGCAGTGGCGTGATCACGGCTCACTACAGCCTCAAACTCCTGGGCTCAAGCGATCTTCCTGCTTCAGCTTCCTGAGTAGCTGGGACCACAGGCTCACACTGCCATGCCTGGCTAACTATCTAATTTTTTTGTAGAGATGGGGTCTCACTATGTTGCCCAGGCTGGTCTCAAACTCCTGGGTTCAAGCAATCCTCCTGCCTTGGCCTCCTAAAGTGCTGGGATTACAGGGATGAGCCACCTCTCCTGGCCATGTTATGGATGTTAATCCATTTAATAATCACAACAATCCTCTGCAATAGATACTATGGCTATTTTCCCCATTATACAGATGAAGAAATTGTGACATAGAGAAGTCAGCCTGAGGCTATCCATTAACATGCCGTGCTGACTTGCATTGCTTGCAAATGGAGTCAAATTTTGCTCTTTCCAGTAGGCTCTCACTGCTTACTGGAAGCCATCCTTGATCCCCTAGGCTGGGTTAGGTACCTCCTCTGAACCCCTCAGCTCCCTATGCTTCCCCATTCCTGCTCTGACCCCTCTGCCTATGCCAGAAGTCTTCTTGGATTTGTGAGTCTGGCCTTCATGGTAGAGGTCTGGCCTAGAGATGTGGAAATCATTAGTGTAGAGATGGCATTTATTTTGTTAATTACATTTCTTCATTTCTTTATTTTTTTATTTTTTTTGACACGGAGTCTCGCTGTCTCCCAGGCTGGAGTGCAGTGGCGCAATCTCGGCTCACTGCAAGCTCCGCCTCCTGGGTTCACGCCATTCTCCTGCCTCAGCCTCCCGAGTAGCTGGGACTACAGGCACCCGCCACCACGCCGGGCTAATTTTTTGTATTTTTTAGTAGAGACGGGGTTTCACAGTGTTAGCCAGGATGGTCTCGATCTCCTGACCTCGTGATCCGCCCGTCTCGGCCTCCCAAAGTGCTGGGATTACAGGCTTGAGCCACCGCGCCCGGCCACATTTCTTCATTTCTTACCTGTATCAGTTAGCTTTTGCTGGGTTACAGATCACTCCAAAACGTGGTGGCTTAAAACAATTATTCATCTAGTTTGCAATTTTGTGACTGCAGTTTAGGCTGGACTTGGCTGGGCGGTTCTTCTGCTATGCTCTGGGGTTGCTCATGTATAATATCTGTAGTCACCTGGTGAGTCAGCTGAAGGCTGCCTGGTCTAGGGTGGCCTGAGCTGGAAGAGTTATTTATGTTCCATGGGGTCACTCATCTTCTAGGGAGCTAGCCCAGGCTTGTTCTCATGGTGGCTGGGCAGGATTCTGTCTATGAGAGAGAGAGAGAGAGAGAGAGAGAGAGAGAGAGAGAGAGAAAAGAGAAGCTGTAAGGTCTCTTGAGGTCTAGGCTTAAACCTGTCACGATATTGCTTCTTGTGTGTTTCATTCACCTAAATATAGTCTTATGGCCAACCCAGATTCATTGCGAGGGGGAAATAAACTCTATTTCTTAATGGGAGTCTGTAAAGTGACTCTGCATGGATACAGAGGGTTCAAGGAGTGTGGCCATTTTTGCGATCCATCCCACCACCATAACCTGGCCCCTTTCTGTGCACAGGTGAACTCCTCCCTGCTGACCTCAGACTGCAGCAAGCGCTGTTCCTGTTCCTCAAGCTCCGGCCTGACATGCCAGGCAGCTGGCTGCCCACCAGGCCGCGTATGCGAGGTCAAGGCTGAAGCCCGGCAGTGCTGGGCCGCCCGTGGTCTCTGTGTCCTGTCTGTGGGTGCCAACCTCACCACCTTTGATGGGGCCCGTGGTGCCACGACCTCTCCTGGTGTCTATGAGCTCTCTTCCCGCTGTCCAGGACTACAGAAGACTGTCCCCTGGTACCGTGTGGTTGCTGAAGTCCAGACCTGCCATGGCAAAACTGAGGCTGTGGGCCAGATCCACATCTTCTTCGAGGATGGGATGGTGACGGTGACCCCAAACAAGGGTGTGTGGGTAAGTTTGTGAGTAGGGGGTGGGGAATGTCTCCCCTGGGCTTTTGCTCTTCCGATTACAGTGTCCCCACATTCCTGGCTTCCTTTCTGTCTTACGATCTGTTTTCTTTATCCATGTCTCTGCGGTTTAGTCTCTGGATTTGTATTTATCTCAATATTTCAAACTTGGTCCCTCTGTTCTGGCTGAGTTCTAGAGGAGCAAAAACATACTCGAGTAACTTAATAGTTTTGACACTAGTATGAATCGAGACTCTATGGGTTGCAAGTGACTTAAAACCAAATTCAAACTGCCTTAAGCAAAATTGAATTTATTAGTCCATGTAGCTAGAAAATCCAAGGATAGAGCCTCAGGAATGGCTGACTCTAGGTGCCCTGGCAATATTATCAGAAATTTGTACTTCCATCTTTGAGACTTGCTATTTGCCAAATCAGCTTTATTCTCAAACAGACTTTCCACTTGCAGGGGTAAAGACAACCCCCTCAGCTGCCCAGGCCTATGCCCCACCCGCTTAACTACCTTAACAGAAAATGGTTCAATAAAATATCCCAGGATTATATCTCACTGGGCCAGTTTGGGTCACATGCCCACCCCTGGAGCCAATCACTGTGACTTTAGGGAGGAAGTTCTGTGATTGGTCAAGGCTGGGGGGGGTCACATAATGTGTCAGGGTTTCCCATAACCACCCCCAGGTTCAGTGATTCAGTAGGACTCACAGGACTCAGCATATAGTTGTACTTAGGGCTAAGACGTGTCATAGGGAAAAGATACAAAGTGAAATCGACACAGGGAAAAGGTGCATCACACAAAGTCCAGGGGAATCAGGTGCAAGCTTCCGAGAGTCCTTTCTCGGTAGAATCACACAGGATGTGCTTCATTCCTCCAGCAACAAAGTTGTGATGAAACGTGAAATGTCATCTACCAGGGAAGTTCATTAGAGTCTCAGTGCCTGGGGTTTTGGTATCCACCTACCAAAATTCCAGACTCCTAGAAGGAAACTCCCAGAAGATGCTCAGCATCTTTGTTCATCACTGGACTATAAGCCGCAGGTAGGCAGGGATCCTGTCCATCTTGGTCACCAGTTTGTTCCCAGTACCCAGATCAAGGCGTGGCACCTAGAGGGTACTCAGGAAAAGGTTGGTTTTGTGAATAAACTCAACCCTGCTCCTTTTGTGCCAGGCCATGTGCTGGGTAACAGACATGACGTGGACTCAGTCGTTATACTTGCAAAGTTCACACCCTACCGAGACTTTCCATCCACTAGTCTTCATCTATCCTTCACTATGCCCATCCTCCCTTTTCCCCTCCTTCCTTCCAGCATCTATTCTATACCTCTTTCTCTTTTTCCTATTTCCTTCCTTTTTGTCTTCTTCCCTTCCTTCTTTCTTCCATCCAGCCACCCATCTGTCCATCCATCCATCCACCCACAAATCCACCTATCCACCCATCCACCCACCCATCCATCCATCCATCCATCCATCCATCCATCCATCCATTCATCCACCCACCCACCCATCTGTCTTTTCAGATCTATCTACCTATCTCTCCAATCATCTGGCAGAGGAAAACTCAGATACAAAAGCATTTAGAGGGCTGGGCATGGTGGCTCATGCCTGTAATCCCAGCACTTTGGGAGGCCAAGGTGGGCAGCCGATCACTTGAAGTCAGGAGTTAGAGACCAGCCTGGCCAACATGGCGAAACCCAGTTACTACTAAAAATACAAAAATTAGCCGAGCGTGGCGGCAAATGCCTGTAGTCCCAGCTGAGGCAGGAGGACTGCTTGAACCCGGGAGGCGGAGGTTGCAGTGAATCGAGATCGTGCTATTGCACTGTAGCCTGGGCGACAGAGCAAGATTCTATCTCAAAAACAACAACAAAACCAAAAATAAACAAATAATAAAAGGATTTATAAAAAAAAAAAGAGAGAGAGAGAGAAGTCTTTCAAGGAAGTTTCTCTAGAGAATCTAACTTTAGAAGGGCTAATTTACCAACTAATGTAGACAACAGTTAAAGGAAAAAAATTCACAAAGTTACTGGATCTGCAGCCTATGATGAAGAAAAAGTAATTTTCTCACATGATTATTATATTTGCTAAAGTCATTACTTATCTTCAGATATCAGCATTGCAAAAATAAAGGATAATGTTGTTTTGGTTAGGGAACCAATAACTTACAGAATGTGCTCAAAGTTTGTTTTATTTTGCAAACTAGAACCAGGCTGAGGTAGGCAGATCACCTGAATCCAGGGGTTCAAAACCAACCTAGACAACATAGTGAGACCCCATCTTTACAAAAAAATACAAAAATTAGCCGGGTGTGGTGGCGCATACCTGTAGTCCTGTAGTCTCAGCTACTCGGAAGGCTGAGGTGGGAGGATTGATTGAACTTAGGAGGTCAGGGCTGCAGTGAGCTGTGATTGCACCACTGCACTCCAGCTAGGATGACAAAGCAAAACCCTATCTTAAAAAAAAAAAAAAGGAAGAAAGAAAAAGACAGTTAGAACTGTAAAGATGACCCTGGGGTTTGATTGTTTGTCTGTTTGTTTGCTTATCTGTCTGGTACAAAGTGCTTCCCCCACTGACTTTGGGGTATTGTGTAGATCCACAGGTCGATCTCTCCATCCCTCCACTCTCCATCCTTCTATCCGTCTATCCAGATCTCCAGCTATCTTCTCATGTATCCATTACTCCAAATAGTGCAAACACCCAGGTCTTCATCTCTTTCAGCACCCACCTCTTTGATTTAGCTCCATGAACTTATCTTGCTTGGGGTCTCCATCCTGGTAACACCCAGCTATTCTATGGCTGTGGCCTCACCTCTGTGTTTGCTGGGCACCCCCCACCAGGTGAATGGTCTCCGAGTGGATCTTCCAGCTGAGAAGTTAGCATCTGTGTCTGTGAGTCGTACACCTGATGGCTCCCTGCTAGTCCGCCAGAAGGCAGGGGTCCAGGTGTGGCTTGGAGCCAATGGGAAGCTGGCTGTGATGGTCAGCGAAGACCATGCTGGGAAACTGTGTGGGGCCTGTGGAAACTTTGACGGAGACCAGACCAATGATTGGCGTGACTCCGAGGGGAAGTCAGTGATGGAGAAATGGAGAGCACAGGACTTCTCCCCATGGTGAGGAATGTAGTATGGAAACCAGACTTCTTGGGGCAAAGGCACCTGGATCCTCATGGGATGAGGGCAGTCAGGATGGGTGTTTAGTCTGCAAGCGGGGGTGCTAAGTGTCTGTCTCTTGCAGTTATGGCTGATCAGTTGTCCACCGGGAGTGAAGACTTCCTGAAGAAGACCTGATCCTCCTGGAGGTTGCAGGGGCTGAAGGATGCATCATGTGCTCCTACCCTGCTCTACCAGTCTTCTGGGTCACAGAGGCCAAATGTGAGAGCGTTGAATAAATCTCTTAAGCTAAGCTGCATGTCACTGTGTCTGTCTCATGCCTTCTCATCCCTGACTTTCCTCCTGCACAGCAGGTATCAGGTGCCTGGGGAATCTGGCACATGATGAATGTTTATTGGGGGCTGGGAGGATGGATGGATGATTGCATGGGTAGATGAAGAGATGGATGGAGGAATTGAGAAAATGGTGTGTGGGGAACTAGGAAGAGGAGGCAACAATAGGTGATTAGAAGAATGGATGGATGAGAAGATAAATGGCCAGGCGCAGTGGCTCACGCTTGTAATCCCAGCACTTTGGGAGGCTGGGGCAGGAGGTTTGCTTGAGCCTAGGGGTTTGAGACCAGCCTGGGCAACATAGTGAGACCCCATCTCTACAAAAAATATAAAAATTAGCTGGGCATGGTGGCACGTGCCTGTATTCCCAGCTACTCGGGAGGTTGAGGTGGGAGGATCACTGGAGCCTAAGAGATTGAGGCTGCAGTGAGCCATGATCATCCCACTGTGCTTCAGCCTGGGCAACAGAGTGAGACCCTGTCTCAATAAAAAGAGAAGATAAATGATTGGATGGAGGGAAGGAGTGGAAAATGGAGAGAGATAATAGATTCTGGCTTTATCATTTATAACCCTAGCAAGTTACTTAATTTCTCTCTAGATCAGTCTTCTCATCTTTAAAGTAGAGTTAATGATAGTACTTACAGAGCTGGAGTGAAGATTTAATGTGTTAATGCAATCAACAAGTAAAAAACTGAAGTCTTGGTATTCTTTCAAATCTGTCCCCTTCCCATGATGGTCTTCCCTACCTCCTTAAATAGCACAATTAGCACCCAGTGAGTTCAGCAGCAAGAAAATAGGGGAATTATTCTTCATTTCTTCCTCTCCTTTGTCCTCCACTCAGTTCCTTAACAGATCATCTTGAACTGTTTCAAAACACACCCAAGGCCCCACAGTGGCTTACACCTATAATCCCAGCATTTTGGGAGGCTCAGGTGGTTGGATCACAAGGTCAGGAGTTCGAGACCAGCCTGGCCAACATGCTGAAACCGTGTCTCTACTAAAAATATAAAAATTAGCCAGGCGTGGTGGCATGTGCCTGTAATCCCAGCTACTTGGGAGGATGAAGCTGGATAATTGCTTGAACCTGAACCTGGGAGGTGGAGGTTGCAGTGAGCCAAGATTGTGCCACTGCACTCCAGCCTGGGCAACAGAACAAGATTCTATCTCGAAAAAACAAACAAACAAAGAAAAAACATACCTGAAATCTACCTTTCTTATTATGCCCACTGTCACCACCTGGTACAAGTCATTATCCTAACTTCTGTCAACAACACAGTAACCTACTGTCTGCTCTTTCTCTTCTGTAATCTACTGTCACAGCTGTCATGAGAATCTTCCTTAAAATACAAACAGGTCACTTGGACCCAGGAGTTCAAGACCAGCCTGGGCAACATAGCAAGACCTTGTCTCTACAAAAAATTTAAAAATTAGCCAAGCATGGTGGTGCAGGCCTGTAGTCTCAGCTACTGAGGAGGCTGAGGTGGGAGGATTGTTTAAGCCCAGGAATTTGAGGTTACAGGGAGCTATGATTGCGCCATGCATTCCAGCTTGGGCGACAGAGCATGATCCTGTCGTTTAAAATAATAATAATAATGGTTATATATAAAAATATATATTATATAATATATATAATAATTAACTATATACATTTATAATAAAATCAAATTTCTTCACCTTGTCCTATGAGGCCCCTGCCAACCTCTTCTGACTCATCTCCTATCACTATCTTCCTTGCCAATTATGATTTGGGAATGTGATCTTTCAATTTATTGAATGTGCCAAATTTTGCCACTTCAGTCCTTTATAATATGCTTGTCCCTCCACTCATGACATGACTGGCTTTTTCTCATCCTTCAATGTAATCTTCAGTGTTAATTAACTTAGAGAGGACTTTCATGACCACCCCACTGGGCAACATAGTGAGACCCCAATTCTACAAAAAATGTAAAAATTAGCTGGGCATGATGGCACGTGCCTGTATTCCCAGCTACTCGGGAGGCTGAGGTGGCAGGATCACTGGAGCCTAGAGGTCAAGGCTGCAGTGAGCCATGATCATTCCACTGCACTTCAGCCTGGGCAACAGAGACCCTGTCTCAATAAAAAGAGAAGATAAATGATTGGATGGATCCACTTTCATGGATCCCCTTGTGTCCCACCCTTTTGCTAAATTCCTTCTTAGCCTTTGTCACACTTTATAATTAATTTTGTTTGACTTTCTCTCCAATTAGAAATAACTTAAGGGCAGAGACGGTATCTGCTTCATTCACTACTTTATTTGCAGCTCCTAGCACAGTCTGTCACATCGTAGGTGCTCAGTACATATTGGATGAATGAATAAATAACTAAAAACAAACTTGCAGGAAAGCTTTGCAATAAACCTAACAAAGGATTAATATTCACAATATGCTGCACACCAACATGGCACATGTATACATATGTAACAAACCTGCACGTTGTGTACCCTAGAACTTAAAGTATAATAAAAAATAAAAAAAGAAAAAGAAAAAAGAAAAGAAAAGAAGGCTTCTAAGAAAAAAAAAAATATATATATATATATCCACAATATGTAGAGATGCTTCAATAAGAAAGACAGTAACCTAACCCAATCAGAAAAAACTGGGTTGGCCAGGTGCGGTGGCTCATGCCTGTAATCCCAGCACTTTGGGTGGCCGAGGCAGGCAGATTACCTGAGGTCAGGAGTTCTAGATTAGCCTTGCCAACATGGTGAAACCCCCATCTCTACTAAAAAATACAAAAATTAGTGGGGCATGGTGGTATGTGCCTGTAATTCCAGCTACTCCGGAGGCTGAGGCAGGAGAATCGCTTGAGCCTCGGGAGGCAGAGGTTGCAGTGAGCCGAGATCACACCACTGTACTCCAGCCTGGGCAACAGAGCAAGACTCCATCTCAAAAAAAAAAAAAAAAAAAAGAAAGAAAAGAAAAGAAAAATTTAAAAAATGGGTTGAGGATATAAACAGGCAATTGGGAGAAATCCAAACATGTTGAATGCATGCAGTATGTCATGTTCTTTGTGTACAGTATTTCTGAACTTCATAATTACTCTGTGAAATGGGAATAGACAAAGAAATAGGCTCAGTGAAGTTAAATAACTTGTCCAAGGGCAAACAGTTTGTAAATAATAGAGCCCAGATGTGAATCCGGATGTGTCTTCTACCATAGCCAGTGCTTTCTATTGAATTTTGCTGTCAACCATTGCCTGGGATCAATTTCCCTTCGAGAAAAAGAATTAAGAAGTCCTAAAAAATAAAGAATAAAAAGCAACATTCCAATAGAAAAATATGCAAATGATTGGAATAGTTCATAGAAAAAGAAATACAAATTGCCTTAAAACCTGGCCCGGCGCGGTGGCTCAAGACTGTAATCCCAGCACTTTGGGAGGCCGAGACGGGCGGATCATGAGGTCAGGAGATCGAGACCATCCTGGCTAACATGGTGAAACCCCATCTCTACTAAAAATACAAAAAAACTAGCCGGGCGAGGTGGTGGGCGCCTGTAGTCCCAGCTACTCGGGAGGCTGAGGCAGGAGAATGGCGTAAACCTGGGAGGCAGAGCTTGCAGTGAGCTGCGGTCCGGTCACTGCACTCCAGCCTGGGCGACAGAGCGAGACTCCATCTCAACAACAAAAAAAAAAAAAAAAACCCTAAGGAGGTGGCTGGGTGCCGTGACTCACGCCCATAATCCCAGCACTTTGGAAGGCTGAGGCGGGCAGATTACCTGAGGTCAGGAGTTCGAGACCAGCCTGGCCAACGTGGTGAAACCTTGTCTCTATTAAAAATACAAAAATTAGCTGAGTGTGCTGGCACACGCCTGTAATCTCAGCTACTTGGGAGGCTGAGGCAGGAGAACTGCTTGAGCCGGAGAGACAGGTTGCAGTGAGCCGAGATCGTGCCACCGCACTCCAGCCTGGGCGACAGAGCAAGACTCTGTCTCAACAACAAAAAACAAACAAACAAAACCTAAGGAGTGTCTGATTCTGCTCATATGAAAAGAAATGCAAATTAAATTACCCTGCAATACTACTTCTCACCCATTAGCAAAGTCACAAAAATTAGACAATACAATTTGTTGACTAGACTATGAGAAAAAGAACACTCTTCTGTGTTACCAGTGGAAATGCACAACGTGTAAGTCCAACGCATAAGGGATATTTGGTAGTGTCTAACAAGATTGCAGGTGCATTTAAAAAAAAATTTTTTTTTTTTTTTTTTTTTTTGAGGTGGAGTCTTGTTTTGTTACCCAGGCTCGAGTGTGGTAGCGGGATCTCAGCTCACCGCAACCTCCACCTCCCGGGTTCAAGTGATTCTCCTGCCTCAGCCTCCCACATACCTGGGATTACAGATGTGCGCCACCGTGCCCAGCTAATTTTGTATTTTTAGTGGAGACGGGGTTTCACCGTGTGGGCCAGGCTAGTCTTGAACTTCTGATCACAAGTGATCCACTCGCCTCAGCCTCCCAAAGTGCCGGGATTACAGGCGTGAGCAGTACCCCACCCCCCTCGGCTGCATTTATCTTTTGATCCAGTGATCCCACTGCTAGGAATCCAACTTAAAGATACACTGGCAATAAAAGGATGTAAGCCTGAGGCAGGAGAATAGGGTCTGGAGGCAGAAAACCTAAGGCTGATTTGCACTGACTTCCTAGAACTGAATCAAAAGGAAAATCCCAATTTTCCACACCCAAGTAACAAAAGGATCAGAGGCTACTCCCTTTGCAACCCCCAACCCCAGCAGACTTCCCCTCCCCTTTCTGCGTGGCCGATGAAAAATGGAAAGTACCTCTGATTGGTAGTCTCCCACAACCAATCAGACTGGTCATGGGCCTAGTCTTTATTTGCATAGGGGTGTAAACCTGTAACTTCACTTCAGCCTCTGATTGGTCCCCCACCCATCCCGACCCGTTAGACGTTTGCATAGGGTGTAACTTTGTACCTTCACTTTAGCCTCTGA